TTTTAACACAACGTGGTGCGATCATCCCCCTTGCGCGGAGCGAGGGTTCTCCACCCCGCACAACAAAATCTACTCGACCACCATTATCGTTACCGCCAAAAAAAAATCCGGAGGTAAAAAAACCCCGGTAACCTGGTTGCCGAGTTCACGAAGTGAATTGGCTTGTTTTACAACGTCGTTGCCAAGCGACGAAAACCCAATCCCGATGGCAAACACCGGGGGGGGCGGCTTGTTTTACAACGTCGTTGCCAAGCGACGAAAACCCAACCCCGATGGTAAACACCGGGGGAAAAAAAAAAAAAAAACGGTAACCTGGTTGCCGAGTTCACGAAGTGATTTGGCTTGTTTTACAACGTCGTTGCCAAGCGACGAAACCCAACCCCGATGGTAAACTCCGAGGGGATCGTCCGGGATGGGAGGGGGGAATGGGTCACCAGCCTGGAAAAGACACGACAGCACCGAACAACACACGGCAAAATGGTACAAACTTATTGCAGCATCGCCTAAGGCAATGAGCGACACACACACTTGTCATTCGTCATCCGTCTACAGCAGTAGTGCGGTCAATACTGCTCAAAGAGGAAAAACACAAAAATAACATGTGTACACTCGTGGAGGTTATGTTGTTTCATCACGTAGGAATACATTTTTACTGAAAGCACACTAGCGCTAAAAGGTAGGCTAAGCACTACATGCGTTGCGCACCGTTGGTTTTGGGAGCTTGATCGACTTGAGGTGCCACACACTCTCCTGCGCTCTCCGGAAGCTCTCATCCTCGATCTTGGAGGCGCGTAGTGCAGTTCCTTGGACTTCGCCATGAAAGGATGCGCACCAGGAGTCTGCAATTCGTCCACGCCACCACCCAACTACGACTCCGAGTCATAGTTGCCTGCTTCGACGCTGCCCCCAACTCCAAGAGCTGCACCTGACGCCGTCTTTCGGCGCTTCTGTAGGCCGTCATGATGCTTGCAAAATCCTGCCGTCCTACCTCCAACCTTGTTGCCGCACTTGTCGCCACGTCGTGCGCCGCGGCTAATGTAGCGACACATACAGCCGGGTTCGCCGGAGAAGAATCCGGTGGGGATGGTTGCTGCTTCTTTTGCTGCTGCTGCTGTTGCGCCTCACGCGATGTCATTGGGAGCCGATCCGTGACCGGTAGCTCCGGGGTCCCCTGTTGTTGCCGCTGTTGCCCACCTAAACTGCGGGTGTTGTGACCGGTGTCATACGAGTTCGGTACACTTCCTAGATCCAAACGCTCCGGCGGAGATGGTTGCTGCTGCTCCTGCTGTTGCCGCTGCCGCTGTTGCGGCCCGAGCGAAGTCGGCCGGAGCGGCGGCGTGACCGGTGATGCCGGCGTCTGTTGTTGTTGTCGTAGCTGCCGAGCTGCTCCCCGGGTATTGTAACCAGCTTGAAGCGAGTTCGCAGCGTACATTGGTTTGTACGATGCGCCCATATCAAACTCACAGTCATCCTCATCATCACTCGGCACGCTTGGGTCGATTGCAGATCCGCTGTCCTCCATGCCAAGCTCGCTGTCCTCAGTGGCCGCATTCATAGCATATGTGGATGGCTGCCGGAGAGAAACGGCCAAAGCCCATGTTCGAGCAGGTATGGCAACTGGTGCTGCCGGCAGCGCTACCGCAAGCGCTACCAACAACGCCGCCCAGATAGACAGGGAAGACCACGCGTTGCGTGGAGGCCTCCTCATGACCTCTCGGCGCACCTCTGATGGATGCTCCGTGTGTTTGCAGCTGTGTGTTGGTGGGGCGGGCGCGCTCTACCCTGGTGTGCTCTACAACTCCTTTCCATGTGGTTCGGGATTTCTGTCCTATCCTCCCTTATACGACTAGACCGTCTGTTCAGCGCTACAAAAACTAAACTATGGAAAAAATGATCAATCAATGATCTGTCAGAAGGCCTATAGACTTCGAAGGGTTTATGTAATTTCTTTGGTCTCTTGTTCTTTCCGTGATCCGAAGGGTGCGCTCTAGCCTACTGCTTGCTGGGAAAGGGGTCGCCGCGCGTTGTGTGTTCTGGAAGAAGACCTCCTGTGAGGACAGACTCACTCGTTTGTTTTTAGCGGGACAGCAGGGCTTGCTGTTCCTTGCCATTTAGGTACAGTTCTAGGAGCCATTGATTGACCCACGATAATGTAGCGTTTGTTGTCACCGCCGAATCGCACAAAAAATATCCAAGGGATTTGTCGACATCGTTCCGCCGTGGAATTGTACTTCTAAAGTACCCCCGTGGTGACCTAGTGTGTTCCGGTAACAACCCGGTTTACCGCCGTTTTTGGGTTTGCAACCTTGCTCCAACAAAACCACGCGAAACCCCCTGCCGCCGAAAAGCTGTTGTTTGCAATGTTGTGCCGGCTCATGCAAGGGCGTTACCGCTGAAAACCGCCAATCCGCCTACAACCGTGCAAAATACCGCCGTACGTACGGCAATACCGCCCAAAATAGTCGCTATAGTTTGGTTTTGCCGCCTACGACAAGCCCGTTGCCGCTGAACAACGTGAAACCACCTACCGCGGGCAACGTTACCGCCGAATGGAATTACCGCAGGAACGATGACGTTCCGACAAACTTGAAGAGTTTACAAATATGATTTGAGGGCTTAGAGCAGAATATCCCCCGTCGAAGAAAAGGGGAACAGGAAACAGAGCGACTCAATTCCCTATTGTCCCGGTCGGTAACATGTCGTTGCGTCCTAGCCACCATACTACATGCAACAGAAAATTCAGACATGGAACACGGAACATTTCAGCGCGCGCATTTGCCTGAAGTGTAGGTGCTCCTTGCCGCACAGTTTGTTTCTTTGCTGGGGACACGCTGTAACTTCGTTTTTTCGCGTTTTTCACGCTTGATCGCCTTTTGCCATGGCTCTCTTATGGTGAGGGTGTCGTTCGCACTTCACAGGCTAGCTACAGATTCATCGCGGCGTATGTACTACTCGTGTTGACAACACCATACTTCACTTGAAACTTTTTTTTTTTTGCTTCCACAAGGACTTGGAGCAGAGCACAATGCCAAGGTCTTTCCTGACACCAATATACAGCATCGCCCACACCCACGGCAAGCAGGGGGTGGCCACGGCGAGAGGGGGAAATGCACGTAGCAGCCTAGACCCCATGGGTGCAGCGCAGCCTTCTGGCGGGGCAAATAAGATCCCAGGTGTCACTGCGGCTGGCCCATTGGTCGCCGTGTCGACCACGCACTTTATTCATGGCGAGCTTGTAGGTCCCATGGACAACTACATTATATCTAACTGCACATGTCGTAGCACCACTGCTGAAGCGTTTCACCTACACAGCAACCGGTAGGAGTACAAGTGTTCGACCTTGGCTTTTCAAACGCTATTCGTGCCTTTGTTCCTCTCACCCTATAGCAGTAGTCACCACCAGCGGCAGTGCGACCAAGAAGCCAAGAAGCGAGATTGTGTGATACTGTATCTGTCTCTTTCTATTTATGATGTAATGAAAATGGAGGTTGTGGCATCTCTCCTCTAACTTATTACCGTGTGTCCCGTGTGGTTGACGTGACTGTGGTTCTCTCCGGCAGGACAATCAAGCAATCTATCTACGGGTGGGTACCTTGCGCTGCTGACGGCGTCAAGGACAAAAGCTTAATTTTGCCCGCCGGCGTAAATATTATTATTTCATCTCCGTCCCTGGTTGTGGGCAAGTGCGTCATCTTGGTGCACTGCGCCCTTGGATTTTTGCCACATGAACATGACCCTGCGGTGCCAATCGTCCAATGCTACATCAATTGTGCTTGAATGGCATGAGAGAGCGCCGCGGTACAAGGTGGAGTACAAGCGAGCTAACGAGGTGGGCGTCAGTCAGGCTCTCTGAGCGTTATTTCCTTTTCCTCTTTAGATACCTACTGGTTGTCGGGTCGACCCCCCTTTAAGGACGCTCGCGTTAAGGAAACTCCCCGCTTGCAGAAAACTTTTTATGCTGAGCACCAGGGGGCCCGGCAGAATGTACGATAATAGGGTACATCCATTTTTTTGCCGCGCACCCCCCTGTTTGTGTCCTGCGGGCCGCTCTTTGCATGCACCACGCACCACAGTGAGTACAGAAGTAGCGACGCACAGACAGCGGAAGTAGCGAGCGGTCTGCTGCTGCAGCTGTAACTGGGTGTTGGTATGGATAGATTTTTCCCATCTACCGGCGGTCCATCTGATGCCGCCAAAAAAAAGTCGTGCATAACCTCGTCCCTCACCGAGGGCGAGGTTATCTCTCTCTTGGAGGACGTTCGATCCTATCTGTACGCGAAGGGAAGGGGCGGCGAGTACCGTGAGATGCAGTACCTTATTTCGAAGACCACTCATTCGTATACTCATGAAACTCAACAGAGCCGTAGAGCCAAGCCGCGCGGGGAGGTTCAGGGAACTCTTTGCGATATGTGGAGGGAAAAGTCGCCCAAGGGTAGCTTTTGGTCTGCGCCGGGACAGTTAATATCATATGTACTGGCGTTCCTCGGTGTGACGCTGAAATACGCTCGTTGTTTTTTTGTTTCACAATATGAGATAAATATGTGTCTACTTGGACTTTTCGCCTTCCGCTGCCGGCTATGCAGTGTATTGGTTGGAAAAGCACAAACTTATGTACTGTAGTTAGTTGTTTTCAACACGTCCCCGACTACTGTACATCTCATTTTTAAGTATTGTAAATGTGTTCGACGTCAGCAAACGGTTGCCCGTCGTCTCGGCGATGCTGACTTTTCATACCACACCGTTTCTTAGCAAAAGACGCGTAGTTTGAGGTATAGCATGCCTCCATTGGCCATGGGGATGGGGAGTTATCGTCCCCTGAATTTTAAGGACGCAACCCCGCTGTAAGGACGCTTTTTTTCGGGAAAAACCATGTGCGTTCCCTAAAGCGGGGTCGACTGTAGCGCTTGTCTACAATAGGCGGACACACACGGGACGACGGCAAGTTCATGTCAACAGGCGGAAGGTGGTTTTGCGTTCTTCGGCTGTAATTGGCGGAAGCGGTGTGCCAATATGCGCCGGTTGACCGTGTAATACTTTGTCGGCAGCGTTGTCTATGTTATACTTTTGCAACGGGACCGCTTCGGTGGATGTGGTAAAAAGAAATGTTCATTGCCGGTTTGCCGGAACCACCCGCCAGGTTAGCGTTAGGGTTGTTTAATGAATCGTCCGGAAAATGCACGCCCATGATTTTAACGCTTTAGCAGGGTTAGTTTGGGTCAGGTTTGCATATTGGAGGGTTGTGTACATGTCTTCCAGAGCAGAAATATGTTGTACACAGTCCCTTTGATCACAAAGCAGTATATGTGGTGATGGCGTGCAACATTCATTCTTCTGTAGTAGAATGATTCCACGACCTACTCTTGTGATTTAACCGTGGCGTACAGCAGTTTTTCCCTCCGGTTGTCCACTATATTGATCGCGCCGTATTGGTGTCTATTTCTCAACGACAGGAATGGCGAGGTTGTCGGGTAGAACACACCGGCTGCGGCGCGCCGAACATTTTGGTGGTAAGCGATCTGCAGCCCTCCACGGACTACGTCTTCCGCCTGCACTCCGCAAACCAAGAAGGCCAGTTCGACAAACCTGGTCCAGAAGTCGTACTTCGTACAAAAGGTGAGCAATAGAAGACAAACGGCCTTGTTCTCTCTGCATGTTTCTGCAAAACTTTCTCGCGCGTCTCCGTCCCCTATTTCCTCATGTGGGTTTGCATCTGCGTACTGCTGTACTCTGCCCATTGATGTATATCCTCGTGGGATTCTGCTGGTGACCACCTTTGGATCGTGCTTTGTTGGTGAATGCCGCCTTCGCCAAAATCTTTATCGCATAAATACGCAAAACCGCCTACCGCCGAAAAGCATGTTCTACCGCCTCCGCCAAAGGCGTTACCGCTGAAAAACGCGAAACCGCCTACATCCGCGAAAAACGCCGTCGTACCCTTATGGTGGTACCCCCGAAAAATAGCCGCCACATTTTCATTTTCCCGCCTACGACAAACTCATTACCGCTCAACAACATGACACTGCCTACCGCAGACAACGTTTCCGCCATATGTCATTATTACCGCACAAATGGCGTGTCCCAAGAACCTCAAGATCATATAACATGATTGACAAGGGTTGAAACCGCCCCTTCCCCCGGTCTACCCCCCCTCCCTACTGGGGTGGGCCGAGGTCCGTAAGCGGACTTAGACCTCGAAACACGACCCAACAAAGACGGATACACAGTCCCTAGCACTGATCAGAAGAAGATCCTGAGTTTGGCGGCCGGGAACTACCGCTGTCGTAAGATCGGGGTAGCTCGCGACCTAGCCGACTTGGGTAGCTGCAAATGAGACTGAATCCAGACGCCCCGGCTTGCACATCGGGGCCATGCAGCAGCAGAGAACACGGTGACCAATGTGGGGGTATGCACCAGAGCGGGGGAAGGAGAGGGTCCAGAGCTGGAGGGCCGCACCGCTCCGGGACAAGACAACTCTCTGGGGCAAACGGCAAGCACCGGGGTAACTTGTACATTAGCCCGAGAGCCCGCAGAAAAATAAAACAAGGACAATAAAAGAGGGCACGATGGAGGAAAAGGAGGGGACGGGCGAAGCGTAGTCTGGCTAAGAGAGCAGCACGCACCGCCCGAAAGACAGCAGGACCGACTTCTCAGGGTAGCAACCTGGAATGCGCAATCTGGCTGTAAACGGGAAGAACGGGTACGGGCGAGCCTACAGCATCCTACACGAGGCAGCGAAACAAGATGTATCGGTGGTAGGCCTGCAGGAGACCAGGAGGTCAGGCCAAGCGGAGTTCATAATAGCGGGTTTCCGAGTATTCTGCTGTGGTACGGAGAAGCGCAATGGCCATGGTGTGGGAATAGCCGTTAAAGAGTCACTGTGCAAGACCTCCACTTTCACCACGAACAATGTTGATGAACGCCTCATGGCCATGAGGTTTGAGATGACGGGCCACCGCGGAGCTACCAACCGAGGTCGCCGCCGCCGACAGCAAGACGCAGCTTCGGGGAAAACTTGACAGTCTTGTGCGGAGGATTCCCTCCTAAGAGTTCCTGTATATCCTGATGCATGCCAATGCTCGGGCGGGAGAGAGGATGGACGAGGAGAACGAAGGCGTCATGGGGATACACGGGCTTGATAAGCTAAACGAGAATGGCCGCCTACTGCTGACCTTCGCAGCGGAAAACAAGCTAGCACTCGCGAACACGTTCTGGGAGACACGCAAGAGCGGAATATGGCATACCTACAACGGTGCGTCAGGGACCGACCGCTTGCGCCTCGACTACATTCAAACGCGGCAGGCACACCGCGGCCGAGTGTCCAACATGGTTGTCATACCCCAGCCGGTATACCCAGTCAAGGCAGACTCCGACCACAACATGGTTAGGGGTGCCAATCGGTCAAATTTCCTATAGGAAAAAATTTCGAAAAGTGTCCTGGATCTTCCAGATGGAAAATCGCTCGAGCCAAAAAAATCACATCGAACGTTCCGAAGAACCCCGCCAGAACCAAAAAACACCTGACGCCCCGCGAGCGCGAAGCGTGTGTGAACGCGTTCCGCCGTGCCGTGGAGGTTGCACACGGCACCCTAGCGGCACCCTAGCGCCGTCCGCAACCTAGCAAACATGCCTGGTGGCTCACTCGAACAGCCGCCGGGCGGTGGGACCGCGCGGACTCCTCCTGCTGGAGGAAGCAGTGCTCCTCCTGCTGCTGGCGAAAAAAACAGCAGCAGCGAGGAAGCACCCATCATCTACGCCCACCGCCTCCGCCTTCGCCTTGTCTCGTTCAGCCTCTTGCTTCCTCCGCTCTGCCTCTTGCTGCGACCGCTCTGCCTCTGCTCTCTTAGCCTTCTCCTCCTTTAGCGCCTTGGTGCTCTCGCGCGCGAGCTCCTGAGCCATGCTGCACTCAGCGGTGCTTGCCGCCTCGCGCTGTTTACTTTCGACCAACTCATGCTCCTTTTCTGTCAGCGCTTTCTGTGCGGCGGCAACACCGCCCCTTTCGACCGCACGCCGTGTGTTTGACGCTGCGCAGGCGGCGTACACAGACTGCCCCGACGCCTGTTCGTACTTGGCTTGGTTTTTCCTGAGGTTCTTCGCGGCTCGCCTGCTGCCGCCACCAAAAACGCGCCTCTTTTTTTTTTGGTTACGTTTTTTTTGCTGCTGTGCTTCGCTGACAGGCGCTGCAGGAGACCCGCTTGGAAGACCATTTTCAGACATGTAGATCTCGCTGTTGACTTGAGCGATTCCAGTTCGGTCTTTTGTGTTGTGTGGTCTAACTCCCAAGGTGGTGCACTGCAAGCTCGCTTTCTCAAGAAAGTCAGAGGCGGCCTCGGGCATTGGCCATACAGCTGAAATTTGTAGGTTTTTCTGGGTTGTTCATCCGCCCTATAAACTTAAACATTAACCGAGCTTGCAGTGTCCTCTATTGGACTTGTGTCCAGATGTGTGCAACGTATGAAGAGCCACGTCGCTGCCTGGACGCAGAGCTACTTATACAAAGTACCGAGGATAAAGTATACTTTGATCGGTATGATTCAAGGGCTGACTTGAGAACCAAAAAGTCCGCGTGCCCCCCTTTTTTTTTCTCAAAATCCTCGAATAGACCGGTCACTTTTTTGCCGTCAAAATCGCCCCGATTGGCACCCCTAATGGTGATAGCCACCGTCAACCTCGGTGGCAGGCTTGCCCACAACCGAGCAGTCCGGACCAAACCGAAAAAGAAGCAGTTCGACCGACGTGAACTGCAGGTCGAAGCAACCAACGCGATGGGAGGTGACTACGCGGTTACTCCTCAACCTCGACCGACGGCAGGGCGAACGAGCGACCACCACCCCGGAGAGGGTGACCGAGTTCACCAATGCTCTCCTCGAAGCGTCGAGGGCGATACTACCCGAGGAACCGCGGAGACGACCCACGCAGGAACGGTGTGAAACCCCAGAGACAAGAGCAGCATTGGAGGAGGCCCTCACCAAACGGCGGGAAGCGCTGCGAGCGATGAAGGACAAGTCGAACATAACATCGTGGAGGCCCTCAAAGCAGCGTATAAGGGAGTGGCCGCAGCAGTCGAAACGGGCATGTATGCCCATCTGGACAGATATGTGACTGAACTCGAAGAGATCTACAAGGACCGCGATATGAGAGGCCTCTACCAACACCTGAAGAGATCAGTGAGGCTCAGTGGGAGACAAGTAGGAGGACAGCAGCCTGTAGCGGACGAGAATGGCGTGCTGCTCCGGAGAAAGCACGATATCCTCCAGCGATGGGCGAGATTCTTCGGCACCCTCCTCAACATCGAGTCCCCCACCCTGAACCCAGACTGTTGTGGATATCGTCTGAGATACCCTTGACAAGTGGGCAAGGCTGTGCCTCTCGATGTTACTCGAGATGGTTGGCACCGCGAGCGGTTGAAGAATAGAAGTAGGAGTACTTCTTGCGCTGTGTAGAGACCTGACGATATGTGGAACACTGGCGCTTAGTTGGCCAACAAACGCAGATAGATCCACAGAGAACGCAGAGGTCCAGATGACGGCAGTTCCTAGAGATGACCAGGGAAGCTGAGAGCCATGACTATCCAGAGAAGTCCATGCGAGAGATTCATGCGAGAGTGAGAGACACGCGATCCCTCGAGTAGAGAAGGCTACAGCAGTAATTCCTCCTCATTCAGGTGTGTTACGTTTGAACCGATACATGCTGTATCTACGATGCATGATCTACGATAGAGAACAATGCTACTGAACATAGACTATAATAGTAAAGGACATGAGCCAATATTTCCATGACACAGACATCATCGAACAAGTGACGCAGCGACCGGCGACACGTGCCACTCAACGGCTGGGAGCGGTGCCAAACCTCGAGGAAGTAGAACGGGCAACGAAAGCAATGCAGAACTGGATGGCACCCGGCAATGACTCTCTCCCTGCCGAGTCGCTCAAGATCGACGACGACGACGAGGAACCCATCGTCCTGGAGCACCTCCGTGCCATCCTCGTTCAGGTATGGGATGGAGGAGAGAGATCCACCAAGTGGAAGGACGCAACCATCAAGGTGTTGTACAAGAACGGTGAACGGTGTCAGTGCAACAAATTCAGGGGGATCTCGCTCCTATCTCACCTAGGCAAGGTCCCCATCAAGATCATCACCAACCGCCTAAGCGCCTTCTGCGAAACCAACTACATCCTCCCGGAGGAACAATGCGGGTTCCGACCTGGGCGGTCCACCATCGACATGCTGTTCGTCGTGCGTCGACTCCAGGAGTTGGGGCGGGGAAGGAAAATACCACTTTACATGTGCTTCGTCGACCTGAAGAAGGCGTATTATTCGGTGGACCGAGAGCTGCCGTGGAAAGTCCTGGCCAGGTCCGTGATTCCCGAGGAGGTGATCGCCGTCATCCGCCAGTTCCACGACGGAATGCGGGCCCGGGTGCGCATGGACGACGGAGAGTTTTCGGCCAGGTTGTGGGTCACACAATGTCTACGACAAGGGTGTGCGCTGTCCCCACTGCTGTCCAACATCTTCTGCGCCGCGGTCATCGAGGTCGTTGCCATTCGATTCAGCGAGGATGATGTTATTCTGCAGAACTTGGTGTACCTGGAGGAGACGGGAGCGGGGGCGAGGACACCACTTAACCGAGTGCGGAGGGCGGTATGGGGGATGCTGTATGCCGATGACGCCGGCGTCGTATCGAGGTCTCCCGAAGGGCTGGCGAGAATGATGACCGTCATCGTGGAGGTGTTCGGGAAGTTCGGGCTGACGGTATCGGAGAAGACCACGGAGACGCTCCTGATGCGCGCAAAGGAGAAGCAGACAACAACACCACCGCCCCCACCGCCACCGCTGATCATCGAGACAGCAGGACAGAGGTACGCCCAGACGACTGAATTCCGGTACCTAGGGGGGCTCGTCAACGAACATGGCGACCTCACCCGGGGGATCAAATACCGGAGCAGAGCAGCGTGGGCATGCGTCAGGAGATATGGCCAGGAGCTCTTCGACAGGCCGAGAGCATCATTCCGACTCAACACTGAGGCGATGGAGGCACTGCTGTACGGCTGCATGACATGGGCCCCACATCAAGACCAATACCGGACGTTGCGGACGATGCACCACCGACTGCTCCTGCGAGTTATCGGTTACCAACGCAAGAAGGGTACCTACCGGCAGCTTTCCACGCCCAGACACTAAGAGGGTAGGGTGCCAGAGCGTGGAAACCACGATTCGGCAACGGCGCCTGCTGTTCGCGGGAGCGCTGGCAGGGCAGCCAGACGGCCGACTCCCGAAACGGGTGATGCTTGGCGAGCTCGTAGGGGGGGAGGCCCAGGCAGGGGGAAACCGGAGCAAAACTGGCAGATGTGCCTGAAGGATGACCTGAAGATGTTCGAAGCCGAGCACGGATCTACGGACTCCGAGCCATGCTTCTTCGAAGTCCCGGAAACAACTTGGATGGAAGTAGCGAAGGTGGACCGGGGGGTACCGTGGCATACGCGGGTACTGCAGGGAGCTAAGAGGTTCATGGCCTCCTGGCACAAGAAGGAAGAGAAGGCTAGCCGACAACGAGCGCTCAAACGAAACAAGAAGCCCGGCAACAACACGGACACGGCAACAATCACGGGGGCGGGAGGGGTACGGCAGGCGGACGAGACGGCGAGGAAAGGCAGAAAACGCGAAGAGGGGGACCGAGCGACGCGAAACACTGTGCAGAATTAATCCCCTTGCTTGACTCACCCCCCCCCACCCCACCCCGGCACCGCACCACCCCCCGCGAGCGATGACGTGCAAGTGCTGGCTCGGGTGGGCCGTTCTGTGTTGTCTTGTATTGTATTGTCTTGTGTTGCTCTGTTTGTTTGTTGTCTGTCGCTTAGGCGTGCGTCTTCCTGTGTCTTTCTCCTTCTCTTTCCCTTCTCTCCATCTACTCCCTTCTTTTTCGTTTTCTTTTTAATTTCTCTTGTTTTTCTCCTACTTTTCTTTTGCTCCTTTCTTTCGTTTTCCAATCTAGGGTTACCTAGCATAGCGTGTAGAGGCGAGCGGAGTGGCGTAGACATCTGTCGTTGACTTTTATTGACTTGCGGGCCCTTCGGGTCCATTTCATTTTCGTATACCTTTTTTGGGTAAGTTAGCTTGTAACCACGGGAATCGACCCTGTCAATTATTGGACTATTAATAGTACGGACAGAAGAAGGTAGAATCCATCCGGTTAAATTTTGCCACAATGGGCCCTCCACTTTTTCTCCCTCAATTTTTGGAGTTGAAGCGTGAAACACAATCGGCGAAAATGGCCATTTGCCGGGGAAAATTACCCCGAAATCACGCCGAAACGGCATTTATTTCCCCGAAACGCCACAGCATTCAATCTCAAGTGACATGGTGGTGGTCGCCGTCGATTATCCGCGCTTGTTTCTCCCGCCCTCTCAGTCTTCCCTCTCCGCAACAGAGAAAAAGCACAACTAATTGTGCATCTACTGCATCCGGCGCTCGATACACTTGGTATAGCCCCAGAAACCCTCGATAGCATTGAGCTCCGGGTGGTACCTGCAGACCGCACGCGAGAGCAGGCAAGTAACTTACGCGGACGTAGTATAGAATGTGCAAGTCTAGAATGGAACCACGCACGCGCGTTGGGAATCAACGCGATGATGCACCACAAGGATGAACGAAAACTCTCCGTGCTGTCTCTATGATAGATGGACACCTCCCCCAAAAAAATTAACACTCACTTGGCGAGGAAGATGCACACGTGTCCACCAGCCTCGAACAGCTCCTCGACCCGATTCATCTGCTCCTTGAAGGCCTTGACCTCGCTGATGATTCGGCGGCAGCAGCATTTTCGAGACAGCGGACTGTCCGCACCGCGAGTACCACCTTCGCTCCCGCTGTATTCGTCTGGGCCGTCGGAGTTTCCCGTATCTACGAGCGCCTTCTGCCGGCTCTTCCCTCCCCTGTTGTACATTTTGGACCTGTCCCGCTTGGCCTTGGCCTCGTTTATGCACCTGAAGGAAAGAAACAAGAGTACAGGGACATGCATTATAATCGCGCCATTAGTGTAGAAACCAAGTACATCATAAATGGAGCTCATCGATAAAACAACGCGAAGACAATCAAACAGTCATCAACGTATATGAAGCACGGAGGGCACGCCGGTACTGTAGTATATTAAGCCCCCGCAACAGACACGAAAACCGTGGGTGCACCTTTCGCACTCCAGGTTTTGCGGTTTTAATTCGCCGACCAGCTTGTAGAGTCCCATGTCCTCAAGAATCTCCTTGGTCCTCTTCGCGACACCCACCAGCTTCTCCGAGGGGGTCTCCTGTTTCACAACCGTTCCGATCGGGAACACTCCCAACTTCTTTCCGTTTCGCAACAGCTATCCCCACCAATATGCCTTGAGGGCAGCCCGCGACAGGACGGTGGGCACAGACAGGGTCATATGCATAGAAGGGTTGATGCGCAAGTGTATGGCCCTCCGAATACTTGCGACCACAACGAGAAGTATTCATCATCGTATGTACAGAACCGGTGAGGGCGACCGACCGGAACACGCCCCCAGCATCGAACATGGTACACGGCTATGCCACCCGGCGGAAGATCTGGTTCCCACACGGTTCGATTCCTGGCTTCCTGTAAGTTACCCGCAAAGACTTAGCCTAAATGGTGAAAAGGGAAGTCCCGATCTTTGCCCAGGAGAAGCCAATCTTGAATCTCGTGGACCAGGAGAAGGCGGTCTTGAATTCCGTCAGTTCCATTCTCCGTCGATCGGTACGATGACGGTGGTGGAGCTCAACATTCGCATATATTCGAGCGGTCGTGCACTGTCAATAAATACCATATACTTTCTCCTTCAAGGCTCCCCTCCGGGATTTTGGTGGCTTACCTCCAGGGGGCGACGCAAGAGGACATGGCCCATGTAATCACGGTTGCATCGTTGCATCTCAGCGTCGGTAGTGCCGATTTTTCGTACAACCTGCAGGATTTGCGGCATGTGCGTTTATTTTTTCTCACGGAGACGAAAGGGGTTGTCATCTTGCAACGCACACAATGTTTGAGATCTTTTATCAGTACTACAATTTTTGCTCCGCAGATAAGAAATTACGAGAGGATTCAATGATCGGGCGCTTGCGTCATGTTGACGTCGACCCCAGCCGATGGCGGTCAGGAAAATATGCCCAATACCACCCGGGCACACAACTGGAGAGCTGTTGCAGCAGCGCGCTTGTCAATTCGTCTGTTGCAGCGGAAGCTCGGCGGTGGGCTGTGTCGGCAGGTTTTGCCCTCTCCAAGCGCCAAGAAAAAGTGCTCCAGCAGCGGCGGGTGGGGTCGCTATGAAATTCTTCACCGCCTTGCCCCGAGCAAGCCGCTCGAAACAATGGCCTCCCCCGCTTCCCGACACCCTTGCGGTCTCAGGAAATGTGCATGTAACCATTGAGCTCCATGCAACTATCCTCATGTCTCCATTCGTAGTTCAAATCTTGTTTACCGCGTGTTGTGCAATAGGGCGTGATTCTTCCATACCCCATTAGCTCAAACCCATCGTCAGGTAGGAGGGTTGCCGCGTTCTTTTGAAAGAACACTCTGGATGTAGTATGTGGTCTTTCAAGTGACACAGCATGGGTGCTACGCGTTGGAAGTTTTTTTTTCTTCCAGTTGGGGGGTGCTCCTCGCCGAGCCATATTTTCCCGGTTTCCCACGAGTACGTTTGTTTTCCCGGGCTCTATCATCTCTCGGCACCTTCCACCCCAACATCAACGCTCGCCTGCCCATCAACGACCCCTTCCACGCCGCGAAGTGTGCGCGTGTCCAGTTCGCGGACGCCATGCGGACGCCTCCCGTACGTTCCGTCAGGTGCTGTTGCGTACCGACCAATCGCAAAATGCATTAAGTACTACTTATGTAAGGCCTCGTTGCCAGACCTTTCCACGCGTTTCCGTTCAAAATTCAATTTTTTCAAATGACAGATATGGGGATGACACACATTGCGAATGTTTTATCTGGTGGTGGTGTCAGCAGGCTGAACAAACTATGGACATGCGGGTGTTTGTTACAGGGCTATACGTGGCGACGTAGCCGCCCCGTGGGATGGGAATGGTAAGAGAAGCCCGCCGCAGGTGGAAATGTTTTTGGGCTTGCCATCAGCTTTCATGGGATGGGATCTTAATTTCTCCGATGGAATGGGATGAGATGGGAAAGGGATTGCGCTCACCCTGATGGGATGGGATGGTATTGGCCAATCCTTGTTGCTGGGATGGGATGAGAACTACTGGATGTTTCGATGGCATGGGATGGATACGTTCACGAAGGGGTGGTGAGATGGGATGGTAACATCTATCTCAAGTTTTCGCTGTTGATGGTGATAGTTTTTCAAAAGGTTTGCCACCTCTCTCTACTGTTCATGGCGAGGACACAGCCATATATAGGCACAGCATTCACCTCGTTGCACAATTTAGCACAAAGAAGGCTGGTGATTGAAATCATGGCAGCCAGTAAGGCTCGTCTGATAGACTTACTCTATATCTGCATACATAACCCTTTTCGTTGGAGATGCTACGCACAAATGAAAAAGGAAAGAAAAGAAACACGAACACGCATATACATATCTACGGGCTGCTATTTCTCATATGGTGCGCCTTGCTTGGTTGCCCTCCCCGCTACAAAATCAACTGTTTCAGAGAGACGCATATAGCATGCAACACAGTTGCACAATATTTGAAGAACAACAACCCCTTCCGCCGAGGCACTGTTGCTGACACCGCTGTTGCTAGCGGGAGCTGGTGGGAGCTGTTGCTGTAGAACGAATTGTTGGTATGCCCTTGTTGTGTGACCTCCATAGTCCAAAGAGTGTTGTTAACGGCATGTATTATCGTAGGGGGGCATGAGGGAGAAGGAGGGAGGAAGAGTGCCAGGCCCAAAGCCAGTCGGAAAGGGGGCCCGCAACTCGTATCTCAAGGTCTCTCCTAGCCGCCCCCCAAGGCAATCCCATCTGCGGTACACGAAACCGCCAGCGATTTGGTACAATCCGACTAATCTACCTCCACGCACGAACACCCTCCCTTGGTTCTTTACGCCAGTGAATAACCACCACTCGTGCGTCGAAGAGTACATCCGAAAAGCAGCTAAAACAACGCAAATCAGAAACAAGGGGAAACCCGCCATCGGATCAAAACCCCTTACAAATCTCAACGCCTTCACGCCGTTCATATCACGAAAGATTCCAACGGCCGTACTGCAACATCAAGGCAAGACAACATCTACCACCGCCCCCGGCTCGCTCTCTACGCCACGCTCGGCTTACTCGACAAGGTCCTCCCTGCGCAGCACAAAAACAAATCATCAACCACCCCCCTACCCTTCTGGTGAGGTCGTACGACAAACTTGGCCAAAATAGCCACCTACAATGCACCTGATATCCATTGTCCGCTCCTCGAATAACACTGATAGTCTACACGCCGTATGCCCTTTCTTACGCAACACATGCCTAGTAGTTGGGGACGACTTCATACGCCCTCTCTAGTGTGCCAAACAACGCGCGTCGCTTTCCCCTTCTCGGAAAGGCGCTTTCCTTTCTTCATTCCTTGAACAAAGGCGACGCCTGGTGAGATTCGAACTCCCGGCGTATCCTTACTCGTTACATGGTCTTATTCACCAGACTACTCAGTCACTTGGTTGCCTAGAAGCACATACACGTGGCGATCGTCCAGCATTCAATCAACAAATCAGACACATGGTACATGCAACATCGTGGAAACACGACCAAACTCCTCCCGTAAATAGAGTCCAACAACACCCAAGAGGCAACGCCCTCCGTCATCCAATAACTGCAAGATCGAAATAGTTCCACCTCAATCATGAGAGGACGACCATAACTCTGTCACGTTGCAGAATATCTGCAGACCGGGCGCAAAACTCTCCGAGCATTACACTCTCCAAAACAAAAAAAACACGCACGGCGCCACCCTCCCTTATTCTGCAACCACACAGGCCACACAGGGAACACAAAACAAGCGGTGACGCGTGAAACTCGAGCATGTGGCGGCGGAAACACCCATGGATTTCAACAAGCAATTAACAGCGATCTATGCAAGTCCGCAACAGCGCCTCACTTGCGACTATTCACGTGCAATACAAGTTATCGCCCTTTACTGCTAAACGCCACATACAAAAGAATCAGAAAAGAAAAAAAAAATAAAACACATTCCGGTACCAACCAAAATGAAGATAGTGCCCGCGGAAATCCACCGCGCGGCTGGTCCGTTTTGCTTCCCTCCCCACCCGCCCACACCCGACGTCCCTCGGCGTCCCGACGTTCCTCGGTGTAGCGGTGTAGCAGACAGGCACACGACGGCTTTCTCGTGTCTTTGAACTCCACCATCCCACAGCTACGTATTTCCGGGCCCCGCCAGCTGATGATGTAGAGTGCACGCGGTACCCCACGCGCCTTGATGTTCGCTGCCCCCTTCCCGCTCTTGGTAGAAGGCAGCCACGGCCACTGCCGTGCTGCTGGGTGTGGCCAAATACTCCAGCACTTCTCACACAACTCCCGTGATACCCCGCCTATCCATCGGGGCCAGGAAGCACTTCTCTCCCCGCATATCCATTGGGGCCAGCAAGATTTTTCTGGTACCCTTCCCCGCACACACGACGGGTTGGGTTCGCGTGCCCCCTCCTACACGCTCCTTAATGGGGATAAACACAAGAGAGCACACACTACTCTCAAGTGTACACGAGTGTTCTCCACCCGTGTTCGCGGGCCACATACCTTGCGGGTACAACCCGCGGGCATTCCCGCTCCGGCCTTGTCTCCAGACCCGCCCCAGCAGACATTGGTGTTGTATACCTCCAGGCCATCTCCCGGTCTTGTGTTCCTTCCATGCTGCTGGGGTGCAGGCGGCAGAACTCCACCGCCTCCGCGTGCCCCCTCCTACACGCCCTTTTAATGGGGACAAACCGATATAGCAACCGGCTCGGGAGTAGCGGATACTCTCCTCTGCTCCCACGACCCGCACCTGCGGGCGAGCGGCAGCCTCCGTGCTCCCGCTCTATGGAGCCCCCGTTGGGACTCCTGGTGGACATGCACTACACAGCATCCCCACCGTCGACAGCATCCTCTTGGCGCCGCCTAACTTCGTCCGACCCCTCCTGAGTGGATAAGTCGGTCGCTGTGACACTTTCGCTAGTGCCCCCAGCGGTAGCAACTCTGCTGTGCAACAGCTCTGCCACAACTTCTACAACAGACGGAGAGAGTTGGTGTACTGGAATGCACCAAACACACCTTCAGCAGGGACCTCAACAGCCCGCACCAGGGCGCCATCCACGTCCGGCCTACTGCTGCTCTCTCCTCCCGCAGTGTCGCCCTCCCTGACAACCACGCAGCTCTTGGTGGCTTCTCGGTGGAACACACAAATCCCGCCGCACCTGCCGTGCCTCTCGCAGCACGGCCCGACTAATCCTGGCCTCGCCCACCCGACTTGGCCTGCAGAAGCGATGGCAGCCTGCCCATCATCTCCTACACCCCTGGTTCTCGCCTCAACTCGAAACCCTAGTCAAAACTTGCGCGTCGTGTCACTCAGTAATGTCCTTACCACGGGATCACGCACAACGCTCCTGCTGCTGCTTCTCACCACAGCTGAACTCTGAAGATCATCGGGCTCCTCCGGAGGATGCATTCTAGAATGTTGGTATGCCCTTGTTGTGTGACCTCCAGAGTCCAAAGAGTGTTGTTAACGGCATGTATTATCGTAGGGGGACATGAGGGAGAAGGAGGGAGGAAGAGTGCCAGGCCCAAAGCCAGTCGGAAAGGGGGCCCGCAACTCGTATCTCAAGGTCTCTCCTAGCCGCCCCTCAAGGCAATCCCATCTGCGGTACACGAAACCGCCAGCGATTTGGTACAATCCGACTAATCTACCTCCACGCACGAACACGAATGTCATCGTGCAGACTCACTACTGTTGGCTTCACGGTCCGCCATGTTTGGTGTGTACAAATAGCTGCATAGACATGCCAGATGCAGCAGGCCGAGTAGGAGGCGGCGGGGGAGGCGCCACCTGGTGCAACAGGGGTACGTTCTTCATTAGAATAGGTACGCAGGGGGGTGGGTAGTGGGAAATGTGCGGTTGGCTGGTATTTAGATAGGATGTGGGTGTCGTGTTGGTGGGAGTGACTGGGATGGGATATGCTTTTGTGATGGGAGTGGCTGGATGGGATGCGCTTTGTGATGGGAGTGGCTGGGATGGGATACGCCATTCGGATGGGAGTGTAGATGGGATGGGCGCGACGTGGAAAATTCAAGATGGGATGGGATGGTACGATGGATCCGATGGGATGGTAGTGGGATGATGAACGAGGTGGGATCGAAAATCCTTTACCATACCATCACCATCCCATTACCATCCCATTTATCATCCCATCGAACTCCACGTATTGCCCTGGTTTTTACACTGGGTGCCACAGCAGTATCACTACAAACAGTATTTGTGAGGTGGGTGTATTGTTTTTTGTATGAGTCATTTGGGGAACAACAGCAGTGCAGCTGCAGCAGCCCTAGCTGTGATACTCCGTACCATGCATTCCTGGAATTTTTAAAGTATTCGGCGCTCCCTTTGTTTCGGTAAACACGACCACGCACAGCTTAATCTTTCTATGCTTTTACAACCAACAATTCCAATATCCGAACGCCAATTTCCGTTCGTCCATTCGTCTTGTGACTCGCTTCACTCGGCGTGGCGGCGAAGGCCGCAAAAACTTAAATATTCTGTTCTATTCTTTTGCTGCTATACGTACGCCGATACGTTGTTTCGTTTTCCCGCAACTTCCGCCCTTCGTAGCACTCCGCACAGGTACTTTTTCAAAATGGCTCAGACGCTTCTTCAAGATGGCTCAGACGGACCGTATGGCACTGCTTGCCCTCCATCACGCGGCCGTCGGGCCCGCGTGGAATAGCAACGACAACTGGGACACGGACTCCCCCATCTCGCAATGGCACGGGGTCACGGTCACCGAGGACCGCGTCGCGAAGCTAGATCTGATGTCCAACAACCTCCAAGGTATCTTAGACCCAATGTCCCTGGCGATGTGCTTGGCCTTCCCCGAGATAACCTTGACCGAAAGTGCTCCTCTCATAGCATTGCAAGTATTAAAAATTTACATGCCATATGTACGACGTTGGTCTTTTGGGTACGTTCCCGCGTTCTCCAAGGGGACTTGGCCCGAATCCCTTGAATATGTGTCCACCGCATTGCGAGCATGCTGTGCAAACGATGCTGCCGGACCCGCCGAACCTAGTCAACACCAAAACATTTAGTCTCCTGGCCCGATCCTTGAACACGCGCCACGTATACGCGTATACGGGACACATGCTGCAGATCTCAAAATATTGTACCGCGCCCCTCTCACCGGTGAGGTAGTGATGGGAGAGCCAAAGCATATCCAGCTTCCTGAGAGCTCCCAGCGCCTCGGGAATAAGCCCTACAACAGAGAGAAACGACCGGGCGAAAAATTCCACATTAGTCAGCCATAGAACATCAGGTCCACCTACTTTCTAGAACCTACTCGCCAACGCGTACGCGGGACACATGTTCTAATCTTGTATCACATGAAATATCTGGTCATTTCTCACTTGTGGCTGCACCAACGTGCTGATCTGGGCAGGGCCGATACCAAAGGAGCTGGGGAACCTCACTCAGCTGAAGGAGCTCGTCTTGTACATGTTCTAATCTTGTATCACATGAAATTTCTGGTCATTTCTCACTTGTGGCTGCACCACCGTGCTGATCTGGGCAGGGCCGATACCAAAGGAGCTGGGGAACCTCACTCAGCTGAAGGAGCTCGTCTTGTACATGTTCTAATCTTGTATCACATGAAATTTCTGGTCATTTCTCACTTGTGGCTGCACCACCGTGCTGATCTGGGCAGGGCCGATACCAAAGGAGCTGGGGAACCTCACTCAGCTGAAGGAGCTCGTCTTGTACAACAACAACCTCACAGGTAAGCGATATTGAATTTTGTTTACCTCCTCACCATCTCGCGCTGTTTACAACTTCTGGAAAACGTATGTGCTGCCTTGCAACATCACATTAAGTTTCCTGGCTCTCACGTGCCTCTGGTACGCGGGGTTCATTCAGTTTCGCTTCTTTTGCATGGCTCTCATGCGTCGCAATTTGTACTCTATAGCCTTATCGACCATGAACCCGTTCAACACCGGCCCAGTTAGTTTCGTTGACATCCGTGCGCTCGCGCTTGTTGTGACATTGCGTGCAAGCTTATCTGGAACACTCGTGGTGTATTCCGCCGTCCATTACATGGGAATAACTCGTGTCTTTAACAATACCTCTTTCGATCCTCTTTTGCCGAAAAACTGATTGTTGTGCAGTGATAGTGTTTCCAGCTCTCTGAGAGCTCCCACCCCTACAGGGATGGGTCCTGCACGAGCGAAGCAGCTCGCGGGGGGGGGAGGCGTACTCATGTTGTGCATGCATTAGCTGTTAAACCACTGACCACGCGTCCACGAGAGGACGGAGCATTGTACCCACAAAATCGATCACCGACGGCCAATCGTTCCTTCCTACGTTGCCAAAGGTGGCTCAGGAAGTTTTTTATCCTATCCATCCTACATTTGTATTAATATCGCTTCCCGCCTTTTCAGCCCACCCATTATGCCCCAGTATAGCTGTCGCCTTCTCCTGGCCATTCCATGCCTCAAACATCTCTTTTAATTGCTCCCTTCATTTTGCCCCAGTTCAGTCATGTACATCTTTCTCTCCGTTTCGTAAAACGGACATCCGCTACATGAACCCAGTCTTCGTCTAAGTTCTCCAAGGCCAATATCCCCAGTCCTAAATTTGACCTTCAGCTGTGTCCCTGCATCCATTCGGCCATGCAGGTACTCGTTGAACCATAATACCTTCTTTCAACATTCCGCCCACATCTAAAGCCTGCTCATCCTTGGTTTCCTTGATTCGATAACGTCCTTCTTCCTGGGTAAAAGCAACAGATACCGCCCTCTTAAACCCCGTAAGGCCTACCGTTCCAGCGTACCAACTTTGTCAATGTCGACGCCTTTGCATATATCCCCGCTTCCACCTACACTCTACTGGGTTCTCACAATTCTCGTTGCATACCACTACCGCACACTTTTGAACATTGGTAGATTCTCTCTACTTATCCGCGAAACCCTTCGCTGCGTCAATCCGAGTTGACGTACGTCAGAGGTATCAGACATCCCAACAATATTATGCTCAAAGCAAACAGCATTCCCGACACCGAGGCCTTCCCTACCCTCACTCCCTTCCCAATTGCCTCTATGACTTTCAACAACTCGTTGATGAACACACCGAAACAACGTTGGGGACAAAGTGCGACTAATCAATGTTGACGAATTGCGACGTTTCTCCATCTAGCATTACAGCTCTTTACATGCACTTTGACATCTTCTTTAGCACCCTCCACGTTTCCCCCTTACGTGAACATTGTTTTCAAAGCCCACGTCCCCATACGATATCGTATGCCTTTTTGCACGTCCAAGACGAAACAGTACGTCGGCAACCCCGCCCTCTTCAGTGAACAAGTGGTATACATATCCCCCCTTGTTTCGAAAACCTGCTTGTCTCTCACGTATCCTACCGTCTTTCTCATTACTCTGGGAACTTATCGTTCAGCAGGTTGCGAACCTACTGTGTTCAACAGAGTGACCCATTCATTTTCCTGTGTCAGCCTAATGTCCCTTCTTCAACAAGTGCACAACCACCCTTTCCCCTCCATCTACTCGAAGCATCCACATTTTTCCGCACCCAGTTGTACAGCAGCCTCCCCCCCGGTGTTTACAATCGCGGTAACCATAATGGTGGTCGAGTAGATCATGTTGTGCGGGGTGGAGAATCCTCACTCCGCGCAAGGGGGATGATCGCACCACGTTGTGTTCCAATGGTCAAGCACCCTCTAGGCAGTTATGCAGTGCTTGCAACTGTCTCAGGAAGTGAAAGCACCAGAAAATATACTAAGTCATACGCAGCTGTCATCCGTACGCAAAGAAGTAAGCACAAGATGCCGAACACCCTTAGCAGGATGCAGCGCACCCTTCATGCGACTCGCCGAATATCTCACGGCGCTTCGCGCTTGGTGATGTGAGAGCCTGGTCCGGTGAGAACCCGGCGTGCTCCGTCCCGGCTTTGTAGGGATGCGAGGTCAATGGTCTAACGACTACGGCATGCACGACTATGAGTACACCCCCCAGTTGTACAGCAGCACCATCAGCTGGACCATCTCCTTCCTACCATTCTTCATGAATTCGTTGGCTATCCCGTCTGGCCCTGCTACTAGGGCACTGCAGTTTGTTCACACAAAAGCCACAACATGTTCTCAGCGTCTTCCTTCTGTAGCTCTACCTTCTCAAACTCTGTGTTCTATGCCTGCTCTTACCCCCAGGCCCATGTGCCCACCTCCTTCTTACAGGCATGGTCAACATTCTCCATTTTCCGACCGTACCCTGAGTTCGTGATAGTCTCAGCTGCATGAGTTCATCTCCGTGATCTTTTACCACGCATGTAGCACAACGATGACGTCAATCTGCGTCAAACACGTCCCATACGTGTAGACGTTTGCCCCCCGTACGTTGGGATTCATTCTGGAAATTGTTGGGGAACCCGTGATACGTCCACGTAGTGACGCACCTGGTACCATTAGCTGTTTTAAACAAACGAACATTTTTTTTGGTGCTCTGATGTTTGTGTTTTCCAGCTTCGGCGGAGTAGGTCGTGTAGCCAAGACTAAGACTAAGAGTTTTGCGGCCTATACAAAATCGATCCCGCGAACGCCTTGGCATTGCGTCATTCATCATTGCACTTCTTGTGGGTTCGCATGAACACGTATCCGTAGAGACTCATCGTTTGGCCGGATGTGATAAAGGCACAGGCCTTGCATTGCTGGGAGGTCTCCTCTCCCGGGGTTGGACCTGTAGCGAAAGAAGAAACATGAGAGAACAGCACTACATTTCCTCCGACGTCTAGAACGGTACGAATGTCCAAGAATCAGAAACACTGCAACACAATAGCACAATCAAACTTTTTCAACATCTACGCAGGTGTGATCCCGGCGCAGCTCGGCGCTCTCCACAAGCTAACCTGGCTCCACTTGTCGAACAACCAGCTCAGCGGTGAGAGACGATGTTGCAAATTGGATGTGTGCTGTTTTTTTCTGGAGAATATATATGTGTCCCGCCCACGCGTGGGTGGCAGGTACTTCGGACGTAGGGGATAGTTTTTGCTATTGCCATGGATGACCTTTCATAGGAAGGGGCAGACTAGTGATGGGCAAACGACTGCAACATTTTAATAATGTATTCGTTCGACGAGCTCCTCGCCGGTTATGTAACACAGTACAAAAGCCTGCAACCCCTACCTTTTGTCGTCGCTCCCTGTTGGCGAACGCTGACGATTCATTGAGACCTGAGCTGTATTCCTTTGTCTCCTCTTCAATCCCTTTTTGGAGCTGATATTTCAAGACCGGGTTTTGGCTTGGTTGGGGCTCAGATGAACGTACAAACGGTCGCAATACGTTCGAATAACACGACGGCACATGTTGCAAACGAGACGTTGATAAGTCTCCACGTGGTACGTTCACCGTGGACAGTTTCACAGGGTTCAAATTCTTCCTTCACGGTGGTGGTTTTGGCTAGAAACGGGTGCTTCGTCGACAGATCTCAGGCACGAGACGGTTCTCGAAGAGCCGCAACTGTTTTCTCTTCGTCGAAGCTTGCGGCTTAACCACGCACACTTCGACACCGTTTAGTACAGACGAGGAAGCATCCGACCGCTCTGGATCCCCGTCCATATGTCCCTTATGTAACCCTACCATCGTGATCAGTACGGAGTATCACGTACTCGGATTCTGTTACGGTATGTGTCCACACACACAAGTTATTATTGCAGTACCATGATTGATACAAGCAAGAGCTTCTCCAAGCCTGCCGAGAGCTTTCAGCCGGGATGGTTTCCTTCAAATGCAAGGAAACAGTAGCTAAGAAATATGTTTTCATAACACAGAAGTTTATAGCTTTTTGTTCATGTGTCCTTCGTTCGTAGAATTGCGCAGAAGAGTTGGCGACTCTGTCATCACAAGTAGTAGAAACAACCATTCACATGATCATGCGTAGGCCATCACATATGGTAAAGACAACCGATTTTGTTCTCCGTCCTCCGACTTGAATATCTACAGGACCCATCCCACCGCAGCTAGGAGATCTTTGCGCCTTGGAGGCACTGGATCTCAGCTTCAACAAGTTGGATGGTGCGTCCAGGAGGATGAATAGTGAAGTTAGTTGCTTTGACTTACGTAAATATGGGATAGGATGAATCCCACCTGCGCGGAGGCGTTAGACTTGTAGAACCTATCGGAACAACTTTCTACACCCGGGATAACACATCAACTTTTTTGATGTTGTTGACAAATGCTCCATATGGCCTGTACAGTAGGCTGGCTTCCTGTCAGGCAGGCACCTTGCGCTTGCTGAGAGTCCCGAGCGCCTCGGGAATCCTGCACAAGAATAGTGCATGGTGTTCATATATTGTTTTATGAAAAATTGTCGTGTGTCTTAAATGTGCTTGCCAATGCGTGGGCGAAACACAAGTTCTATTGAGAAGCTTCGGACTACAACGATGCTCCTTTATCATGTTCATTTGCCCATTGCTGTGATTCTTGTGCAGGACACATCCCCAAGGAGCTAGGAGCTCTAACAAACCTGGAGAAACTTTGGCTGCAACGAAATCAGCTCACCGGTGAGGGACCAAGCGAGAAATTGAAGTGTACCCATTCTCGTTCTCTAGACCATTGGTCATGCGAATGCATTGGCAAGACAAACAAGCGAAGAAAAAATGTATCATGTATTATGTTTTCTATAGAACAATGCAAACATTCCTTTTGGCACATATTCTGAGCAGCGAGCTTGTTGCTGCGAAGAAACACGGACGAGAGCTTGGTTAGTGCTCCCAGCTCCTTGAGTATTGGCCCTGGACAGTGCAAAAGCAAAACAGCAAGGAAAACAAATCATAGTGCAGCTACTAAGGCGCCATGAGATTTGCATTGCTGTAGCCGAGGCGATCAGTCGGCAGGGTCCGCGTAAGATTTAGTTTGGTTGTGTTTCCCTCGGCACAAAAAAGTGCATTCGCATGGATGGGGGTAGTGACAAGTGGTCGAAGACTGACGTTTTTTCGGGTGCGCGTGAGGTCGCCTCTAATATTTTTTTGCTATTTTTTTCTCTTTTGTCTACATAGATTATAGTTTCTACCTCGCATAGCGTGTAGACGCTAGCGGAGGGTCCTAATAGACTAATCTATCTGCCGTTGACATGCGTACCCTTCGGCTCCATGTTATTTTCGTAATAGTAGTTTTTGGGTATGTTAGCCTGTGACCACTGGGGGAATCGACCGCGTCAAGTGTTAGACTATCATGCTTTCATATTACTACGGACAGACGACGAAGGTACTGGGTACAGAGAACAGAACGAACGGTTTCTAATTGTGAAGACCGCAACAACTGGAACTGCTGGGTTCGTGCATGGATGGTTTTTGCAGCACTTACTGGATAGTGGTTGATTTCGCCTTCTTGTGTGATGACATATATTTGCGTGTATGTAGTGTATGAACGACTTCTTCATGGATGGATGGGTAATGAGAGGTTTCAATTCAACTCTCTGGAGTAATGGAGGGTGCTCCTTATTCTTATGCATGTGCCTGCACTAGTACCTGCAGTAGGTGACATACAGACCGGGCCCGAAGATAAAAAACGTCAAAATCGGGTCGAGCCTCAATTTCTTGTTCTGGGCAGAAGGACCAGCCGAAGTTGATCAATTTTTTCAACGGATTATTTTTCCTTTGGGCTGTCGCATCCTGCTGATTCTCCTATTGCTGTCGTATTTTCTTATTTCTGATGGCGAAGAAAACAATACACTAAATGCCTTCATGCAGCATCAAAGCGACAGCTCGGTATGGCGAACAACGGGGGTTGTGGCAGTACAGAAGTACAGCAGCAGTGGGTAGCGCAGCCCGCGGCGGCACTGGGGCGCGTGGGGCGCCGCGAAAATAACCACTCTCCGCCCCTACCAAAAATTACATGACATGAGTCAGGTAGGAGGTGGGAGCACGGCAGCAGCAGCAGTGGGGCGTTTCTTTGGACACGCTCCCCCAGCTTCTACCCCTTGTTTCATTTATCTTGGGGTATCGCACGATCATGTTTCTTATTGGGACGTTTCTGATGTTGTGCCCGACAGTGAGCTGTGTTTCTTGGGCCTTTTTTCTTATTTTCCGTAAAAGTTTGAGCGTTTTTTTTGGAACAGAATTTTTCTCAACTGCGGGCCCCATCTGTAGTATATCGCAACCTCTTCCTTGCCCCTGCATCAACATTCACAGCCAATAATGTTAGTCCACGACGACGAGGATGTCAAACGATACGTTTGCTTTCGGAAAGCTATGGATTCCAACGCCGCCCGGCCACGCTTTCTGCTGTGGAATAATCGAGCCTTGAAATACAAAACTGTTCAGGGGGTGGGTTTGATATCTTATGGCATCTACTCTGTGTACAGAACTCTTTGTCGTGCTCGGTGAGCGAGCGTTTCGGGGTGTGCGCCCTCGACTGTATTTACCGCCTCAGACGGGCGACGCGACGATACTCGTCGAGTTGCTATCACAGTATTTTTTCTTTCCCCATGTTATTTTAGTTCATCGTATGCATTGAATAATGAACCACAGTGTGACACTTGGCGCCTCACATGCCTGTTGTCGTCATAGAAACCACACATCATCCACACGAAATCGTCGAATGAACTGAGAGTGACTCTTGAAGCCCGGAGTAGCATCACACCTCCACGCGCGTGAACGAAGTACCCCAAACCTCGGCGGAAACAGCGGTACCGTATGTCGTGTAGGAGCTCCTACATAGCTGGGAGTATTACGTTCGCCTACCGTTCCGCCTACTTTCCGATACTTTCGTACGCAATACTACGCCAACCAAAACGAACGCGGTTTCGGGGTGATTTATACCCCGTCGATCGTACCTCCGGCTCCTCTTCTTCCATCTCCTTCTCCTCCTTCTCATCCTCCTGTTCCCCCTCGTCCTCGCCATCTCCCCTTACCCCTATCACGACCCCCTCCCACCCTGTTCCTCCCACTGCCCTCTCCCCTTCTTCACCGTACTCCGAGTCTACTTATTCCACTGAGCGCCGCAACAGCCTGGGCTAGGTCGATGACACCCCGTGACTGCGCGCTGATCATGCTCTATCGCTAGTCGACTAGGTACACGCGCAGCGAGCGCACACGGTGGAGGCACGCAGATGCACAATACCCCCCCTATACAGACAATATATTGTAATTTGTCTGGCCTTGTCTGGTTGTAATGTAGGAGGGGGGTGGCCACTAGGTACCCTTCGCCCCCGAGAACTCCTCCGAAGAAGAAACTAAGTCACCAGGTGTGGTCGAAGAGTCATCTATAAACATTACAAATCTATGCAGTCGTACATGAACATGCATCAGGTTTCCTAGCTCCGGCGGGATAAGACGTGTAGCGACACGACAAACACGAACGCAGCAGGAACAAAGCAAAATAGCCCGAAAAATGCCCTAGTGATTCCTTCGAGAACACCAACTGCTCACTCACCGCCACAGGCAGGATCTTCTACGTCTAGCATTTCAGACGGGATGATGAATCGTTTTGTTTTTCCAGCTATGCTGCTTGCGCCTGCGCGATTCCCACGGTGCTGGGAGCTCTCAGCAAGCTAGAGGAGCTTTTTCACGTTCAAGAACCAGCTTGCCGGTAACAGGCGTGCACTACCATGCTGAGTTTCACTTCTTGTAGCAAGTTGCTCCGCTGGGTTCTAGCAGGCTACTCGCGTTGGCGAGTAGGCTTCTAGAACCCAGCGGATCGATTTCATTAAAGGGTACAACGGAATGGTAGCGCGTGCCTCTTACTGGTACGCTGGTTACTGGATAGATAGGACGAAATGCTCCAGATTGCTGAGAATTCCCAGAGCCTCCGGAATAGTAGGTCTTGCAGGCAGAAATCGAGCAGTTCATGCATTGTCGAAGAAAATCAATATTGTTGGACACGGGTCCCGCAACGCAGGCGAGGCACATGTTCTGGAAGCGCGCTGTTGTACTCAAAATTGATTTGGACTTCTTTTGTACTCCCCTGCTACTTTCACCTTACTCAAACAGGTCCTGTTCCGAAGGAGCTCGAACACCTCAAAGCCCTGACTACCCTGGAGCTCCAAAACAACAGCTTGGAAGGTAGTGGGTCGTTCTGTAGTCTTGTGTTTGTTTTCGGTAGTGAAAGCCTCTCACTGGTAAGCTGGTAGCTGAATAGGACGAAATGCTCCAGATTGCTAAGAGTCCCCAGAGCTTCCGGAAAAGTAGGTGCTGCAGACAAGAAATCAAGTAGTTTATGTATGACCGAAGAAAATCCGTATAATTGGACATGGGTCCCGCAACGTAGGCGGGACACATGTTCCAGAAGTGCGCTGCCGTCATGAACGTTGATTGGAATTGTTTTTGGTATTCCCTGCTACTTTCACGTTACTCAAACAGGTCCTATTCCGAAGGAGCTGGGAAACCTCAAAGCCCTGACGATCCTCAGACTCGGTAACAACAACCTGGAAGGTATGAGGGTAGTTCTGCAATCTCTGGGTTTGTTTCCACGTAGAAACGATTACGTTGAATCCCACTTTGACGCGTAAATGCGGCAGTCATGCTGTCTCGTTTTACGTATACTCGTCTACTTTGTCGGTGACGATTACCGCTCACCTTATTGTCGAAGAGATCAAGCCAAGTCAGCTTGCCGAGCTGTCCTAGCGACGCCGGGGTTTCGCCTTTACAGTAGTACTAGGGGGATGAGAAGTTTGTTAGCGGGTGGCATCATATAAAACAACTAGAAGGTTTTGTTTATTGGTTCTGACTTTCCAGTGGCAAGGACCACCCTCACAGGTTCGCTGGTTTCCCTGAAGGTTGAGCCGCTTCAGTGCTGCGAGGTTCCCTAGCTCCGGCGGAACGGAACGTGTAGCGACAGAGGAAATTTGAATTTTGCGGGGGAAAGCAACAACAACCCCCCGCGCCTTCGACCAACCACAACAATTCCACCGCCCTACCAGACCACCTACTACCCCAACGCCTTGGCGATTCTTCGCTTATGGGGTTGCCCGCTGCTTTTTGTGTTTTCCCTCGTTCATAGGTGGCGTCCCTGCTGGGGTTCGAAATATTGGCGCCCTGATCACTACAGACGTTGGTGAGCTAATCGAAGCTGATACCGTTTTATGTTCGTTGCATGTTGCACAAGTTGAGAATGCCTGGCTGAGTTCCTGGGTCAGGCGTTGACCACATGTTATGTCACTAGCTCTTGGCATTTGATCGATTTTCGTATTCCATCGACCACAGGGCTGATTGAGCGTCAAGGCGGTGTGGACCGCTCCAAGGACGATGGGACGGGCCCTGCATTGGTGGTCGGTGGAAGGTGACTCTGCTCGGCATGGTGTGAAGCCTTCCACTTTGCCCACGTGAAAAGGGGATGCGCCGATGAGCCATTGTTTCTCCACTTGTTGCTTCACCCCGGCATTTGAGAGTCTGAAGAGTCCACTTTGCGCAGTTCGCACAGTAGTGGATGGTTTCATGCTCACTTCCGATACCGCCAAAGTTCACAACTTGGTTGGGCTTTCTCCAGCACGGATGTCCATTGCGATTGGCGCTTGCGTGAAAACGTACCCTCTTGGGGGCCCACGGCGTTCCGTCCAAGTGTTGTTCGCTACTTGTATGTTTTCGTGTGAATGGCTACCCATTGACACGAGGCGAACTTTCATCCTTACCACATGGAATCCACTATTAGTAGCAAGCGCACGCAGAGCGACCTCAAAAGTACAACAGAGTACTGAAGATCCAAATTCCCCACCATCGAACGATGCGTGTTTCTCTCTTGGTCATGTGCCACAGGAGATGAGATGGGACGTGGGCTAGGGAAGTGAGGAACGAGTTGCACGAAACTTGCCACGATAGCGAGAAAACATTCGACATAAACCCGGGAAAGTATCCCAAACAGACGCACCCTGATGAAGGATCGCCCCCGTCCGGAACACACGCAATAGATTACCGCGAAGAGTCGCCGGGCCCATCCTGACTTGTGTATGTGTTTGACAAGTGCTGTCTCCGTTCTCAAACCGGCGAGGGGCAGAAAACCTTACCGAAGCAGCCGTGAAAGTAGCGCTGGGACCGTAGGGAGCAACAATGGTCGGTACGACTTCAGTGCAAGTACTATGTGAACTTTCACTGCGGTTTCAACACTTGTGCACGTTTGAGAACAATCTAGTTCCAGTTGGACATGGGTGAACATGTTTTTTTTTTGCAACGAGGATGAGCCTGGTTTCGGCATTGGTCACACGCATGCATACGCACAGGAACACAGCATGGAGGACCCGTATTGCTAGCCCTACGCGACTTTGGTCGGATAAATCTCTCTTCCAGCGACGAAAAACTGTGTCGACCGTGCGCATCAGGTGAAGACTTCCGAACGCGTGTATTTTTCCCATTGCATTCAAACTGTCTGCCACTCCCAGGTCCTCCAAACCGGCAGACGATTTACGCACTTCCATGGACTGCATCCCCCAAGCAACGGCGGTGCAGGAACCCAACGAACGCAGAATGCGTGGAACTATGGGTCAACGGACCGCCAAGAAAGGTGCGGGGAACTGAGCCCTCGCGCCGTAATGTTTTTGGTTACACCTACAGATTGGTGACATCGTCAGAAGCAGGACAACGACGATTGTCATGACATAGAGCCAGCAAAGCGTCTGCCTTCGTAACGTTGGAGTCCCGACAACAGAGCTAAGTATTCCATGCATTAGTCGTTTCGCGTGCGCGCTATTGGAATCACCGTTCTTCACCCTGCACACGCCGCTTGCTCACGTTCGGTGGATGCTGTTTGTGCTGAGGGTGTACGGGCGGCGATAGGTGTACACTAGTAATAGAGGGCGTCATGAAATAGAGAAAAAGGCATCAGCAAGCTTCTGCCCATCTCCATCGTATTGTCGATGAAATAAAAAAACTCGTTCCGTGCGCATGTTTGCTGCGAACATGGGCTCGTAGACCTAAGACTGTTTTGATCCAGCTGCAGCGAACTTCGAACACCTCCCGCTTAGCGCTTCAGACTGATCTAGGCGGGGGACCTGCGGATTCTGAATCGATACACGGACACAAGCCATGGGTTGGCGAAGGCAGAGACGAGAATGCTTGAACAGCACGGCCTCAACCACAGATCTGAGCGTGTTAGCACGCACGTCGCTGCTCCTTTTTGTCCTATTCTGGTAGAGCGCTTCAGGTCGGAACTCGTGATAATAGCTGAACTTCGAGCACTCACGGTCGTACCTTGAGTGAAGTGTAATACTTGGCTTACTTTGAGAGAGGATGTGTGGAGGTAGACTGCGTCATACCCTGGTTGAGACTAGGCCTAACCGCTGCTGTGCAACAACCGAGTGCTTTGGTAGTGTACAATGCTTTCTAAGTGGTCTGACGTTTCTCGTGTTCGGTCACTTCTAACAGTCCAAATGAAGATGCGTTGTCTTCAATCCCTTACCTGCCCCTACATCTTCCCCTGTACCCCCCCCCTCCTTTTAATTCCGCAAGTTACTATCGTTGAAAACCTGGATAGTAAGGACACTCCATGGGTGGGAAAGGGTGGCGGCGTGCTCGTTTCGGTTCCAATGAATGCCCATTGGGCTTTCGATTGGGGGTTCTATCATGGCATCGGGCCGATAACGGTGCAAGAGGCTGCCGAGGTGGTGAAAGGGAGCGACGACTCCGTGTGCGTCGTGTTGCAGGCAGTACATTGCCGTCCGGCTGGAACGACGTTTTTGGAGCCACTGACGCTAGACTTCGCCGTGAGGGATGGTCATGTGCGGTGGTGGGACAGGGCGGCCGTATACGAGGACGTTCTGCGGGAATATCAGGTACCAAAGCACCAGCAGCGGGTTCTTGCAGTTTGTAAATTCTCTGTTGGTTCGGCTGATGCAACCTTCGCTGGATCCACGTTCGTGTTCACGTTCACATGTTAATGTCTACCCTTCGCCATTATTCGCCAGATACTCTCCAAGCCAAGTGAAGATGACCCCTGGCGGGAGATGGACATGCAGGACGTCTCCGTTGTGTTGGACGACGAGGGCTCCACGTGTCTTCGAGCTCGAATTCGGCATTTCACCTGGTTCAGTGTGGCTAAACGCACAACTAGTGCTAGCGGGAATGTCGTGTCCCGTCATTGGGATAAATCGGTGCTGGTGGTCAACGCCACCAACTCCGTGGCTCACGTAACACCAATGCCCATTTCCTTCACCACCAGCAAAGAGGCGACGAAAGCTTGTTCGCTGACATTTAGCGAGGCGGGTATTAGTTTCGAGGCCGGGAGACGGACCGAACATATAATGCTCCCAGTGAATACTTCATCAGAGATAATCCCTGCAGGCGGCGCGGCTGAGCTGTTCCTGAGCGGTGGTGCTCGAGAGATGAAGGTTATTGTCTGTTATTTGCCCGACCGCAACAAAGCTGAAGCGTCGTCATCCAATCAGACGGTTTCACCCAGCTCGGGAACCTCGCCCGTACCAAGCACGACCTCTTCACCCGTCATCGAAACGACAGCGACGGGCACGCTGCAGGGCACATCGACGATTCCACAGACTTCCAACGCTGCCGCACCCAGTTCAGGGGACTCACCTCCGCTAGGGGCGGGACCATCGGTGCGGGTGACTTCCCCCACTTCGGAAGTAGCCGCCCGTCAGTCAGGCGGTCAAGGAACCTCACCGAGAGAAAGCGAAGAGATGGTTTATTCCATGACTAAGGTCTTGCCCGGCAGACGGCGGCTGACGCTCTTGCAGGCATCAGTTAATCGCAAGATCAACATAGAGCAGAATGCTCGCGCCCTCGAAACGTATGCGATGATGCTGGCCGATTTTGGGACTGCCCCGCCATAGATGAAGCGTTCGTCTGGATTTGTGATGTTTAGAATGCAAATGCAAGAGACAACTAAGTTGCTAGGTAAGGAGTGCACAGACACTGTCGGTAGGGGCGTGAAAAAATGAAACTACATCGCATTTCTGCCAATCTTACTTTCGGGACGTTTAAAAGCACTGTCCGTTATGTTCGACACCCCAGCAAAATAAGCTGATACGTCTGTACAAGTAGTGTTGCCGTCCGATGTTCTTTCGCAGGTGCGAACGTCACTATTCGGTCGTCTCGTTCAGTTGCCGTGTTGAATTGTCCTCACTTTTGACAGGGAGTGTGTTAGGTGGCCAACGTTGGGTCAACGAGGAGCAGTACTATGCATGCATGGCCTCGAGTGAGTCTGATGCTTTAGTTTAAACCTGTGTTTTTGTTCTTGTTGTTGGGGTTGTTCTTTTCTTCGTTGAATTTTGGGCTTTCCATTGCCGCTTGAATGAGTTGAGTTTGTTTTTTGCCGACCTCGGGTCTCTGCGAACAAAAATTGATTTTTTGTGCCACTATTTTTTGTAGAAAATGTGTTGTGTATGCGTGAACAAAAAAATGGGATACGTAGGCCACCAACCCCCGTGGGTGGGGTTCGAAAAGTTTCGATGAATCACGACAGAGATAAAACGAGCCATTTGGTGAACGTCCGCGACCTTCTGATTGTCGTGTTCTTTTGCATGCTCAAGAGTCCACGCCGACCTGAAGAAGCACTGCGCTGTCGTAGAAGTAGCTCCAGACAAACCAACCTGTCAACGTCACTTGTTTCAAATCAACGTGATGTGCCCACTTCGAACACTGCTTGACTTCTCCGGTAGGTCTCCTCGAGGGTAGCATGGCAGCTTTCGCATGCACGGGAAGAGCAAAACGACTATTTGGTGCTGACTTCGCAACAACATCCACACTCTGTTCTACCTGCGTGACCTGCTAGCTTGCCTTCTCACCCAAAAATCAAACGCCTCTCCTCGAGGGCCGAACGCGAGGTCATTCCAATGCGCCGAAAACGAAACTTCTACCCCGGCATCTTTCAATGCCGCCACCCGTGGCGCCAGCATGAGGTCTATGCTTACGAGCAAGAAGTTTGGGCTCGTCATTAGCACGGCCCGAACGTCCTCCAGGGTGGCGCCCATCTCTTGGCAAAAAAAGGCCACCTGAACACGACGTGAAGGACAGAAAAGCATCGAACGGCGCACAGGCGTAGTAAGCCAACGTTCTACAGCAGACGTCCAAAAGTATGATGCGCACGGTTCTGTCTGTGCTGTGCACTCGTACATTCGTTGGTGCGTGTTATGGCTCGGACGGGCACAGCGACTAAATAAAAACCATGTACGGTGCCAAAACCAGAACAATCACAATGGTGAATGCGTCTCAAGCACTCCGGAAGCACATGAGACTTCGTGAGCTCACGGGTACTGTTTTACGTTGGGGCTGCTGCGCGCCTGGCGGTATCAAAAAGGCGGCTTTTGAGAACAACCCCCGCCGGGTAGGTCACTGTTGTGTCCGATCACCCGCTTTCTTGAGCTACAGCCCCGAGGCGATTCCTCGTGTCAATGCTAGGTCCATCCCGTGTTGACCTCTCCAAGTGCGAAATCGCCGGGAGAAAGATGAGGAGAACGTTTCGGAAATAAGGCGAATCCACTGGATGCATACGTGGGTACTAAATCACTCGAGCCTGTTGCGTGGAAATCTGTCCATAGAAATAACTTCAGTCGAAACCTTCTCAAAGCGCACTAGCGTTCACGAACATTCACGGGGCAGGTAGTGATCAAACCTTGGTGTCCAGAACTTCCGTGCTCCGCAGCAGCAGTCGCGCATCCTTTGTCAGCACCTTCACCGCCTCCTCCTCCCCCAGCCCTACCTTTGTACAAAGCCACTTCTTCGTTGAGTCGAACGTTTGCCTCATGGGAGTCAGGAACATGCGCGGGTTTCGACAGAGGGTCTTCCTGATTTCGGCCTCGTCGAGGAGGAGTTTCGTCTTCAGGAAGTCGAACGTCGGCTCCAACTTGTCCTTCTCACTGAGGTTCAGCAGCCAGGGATAGCTTAGCACCCTCTCGCGAAGGTTAGACCCGCCGATCTGCAGGTTTGTGTGGAGCCACCTTAGCCTTGGCTCGAGCGCGCCCTCGATGCTACTCGTCAACACCTGCGATAGAGGCCGTAGGAGCAAACGGTAGCAATGAGCTCGCCTCAGAAGAGAATGAAGAACGGGAGATCCGCCATAGACGAACAGTGGACGCTCCGTTGGTAGAAGGGGGGGATGTATGGCGCAAATTGGGAAACGCATATCTCAAGTCCGCTGAACGCGCGGTTGCAATTCTTCATACGTTGTGTGTGTTCCCCCGCATTCTCCATCATCCAATGAAACCACGCAGCCAAGCAACCAAGCCCAAAGTTGACCGGAAACGTGTACGCTGTGGATAAAATACATCCCATTGAGAACACTCTTTGCGCATTCTCGAGCTCATCGCGCTACTCACTTGAGGACACGTGGTCACTACCGCAGCCAGCTCTTCGTTGGACAGCATCAGCCGCCGGGAGAGCCAGTCTAGCTTGGGTGCCATGCTGCCTTCGATGCTGATGGTTAGGACGTTTGGTGCGGAGGAGACCATTGTCGCCACCTCGTCCGCACTCAGGCCTAGTTTCTCTTGGAGCCATTGAACCTTGGGGAAACAACCAAGAGTGAACGCAACGGAGTGGACACAACATCATAACGATTGCAGGTGTTGATCAACGTCGGCTGAAAAATGCAAAGCTGGTCACCAAATAGGAGTAGGACGGGTGAGAGAGAGGCCAGCCCGCGTTACGCGCAGAACCCTGTGTGACGGCCGCAGCATCGAATGCGTATCAATCGCTTCTGCACCTTGGGTTCCATGCTATCGTCAACGCTCCGGCACAGTACGGACGGCCTCCTGTGCACCAGGCTCCTGATCTGCTCGTCGCTGAGCCGCAGTCTCTCTTTCAACCACGCCAGCCTCGCGGATATCGCGCCGGTCTCTTGCTCCGCAATGCGCGGCTCTTGCTCCACCATATCCGCGATAGCCCGGGAGCTCATCCTGACTGTCCCTTCGAGCCATGTAAGGACTCTCTTCCGCTCGTCCGTCGCCTCGGGGGAGTACTTCTTCAGGCTATTTATGCCGAAATCTTCAAAGAGTCTCTCGGCGACCTTGGACCCCTCTCCACCCGCGCGCCCGAAAGGCTGGAACCGAGGAGCATCGGCGTTCCTATGCTGTGTGCGCCCCGCGCGTTTCGCCTGCGGGACGAAGCCTCTCCCCGCATGCCCATCACCCCGTCCACGGCTGCCACCCCTTCGCCTCTCCGCGACGGCGGCCAATGACCGTAAGTTGGCTTCTTTCGGTGGGAGGCAAGCGTTGTGCGTACCACTGCATCGGACTAGCGAGCTGGCAAACCCGGGCGCTCGCCCCACCCCCACCATCAAACTCCGCGCGCTGTTTCCGGTCAAAAACATGCCCATCGATGTGACGTTAGGTGGAAAGCCGATCGCTGCCGTCTGTGTCTGTCAACTCGCTCGTTCCGAAGGCTCAGAAACGCGGAGCCACGGCTGCCGCTAGTGCACCGCTTGCCCGTGCGCCCGCACCGATCTGTACCGTGGGGTACTGGAATGAGTTCGCCCTTCCGATCGCTTCTGGCCTGCAGTTTCGGCACGGGTTCCACCACCACCAATGTGTGTCGGCGAAGGAACGCGAAAACAAAGGCCAGAAGAGAGGGCGTCAGCAACAGGAAATTGGCCAGACGTGTTGAAAATGGTCGTCGAATGCATGCGGGTGGGAGATCCGCGAGGTATCACCCCACCATGTTTTAGTGACAGAGAGAAAAAAAAATGCCAGAGGAGAGGTTGCCAGCAAACATGCTTACCCCTAGCTGGCGGACTGCACATTATACACCTTGATTTCGACACATCCATGTCTGAAGCACCACCTATGCACCACCGATTCTGCCACAAGATCTTCGTAGACGTTTTGCATTCCTCCAGCCCGCTTGTTCATCTTGCTCTTTCGTTTTCTCCTCTTCTTGTAGCGTCTTTCTCTTGATACTACATTCAGGATACGTACCACGTGCGGTTCCGCACGCGTACATTGCGGCGTTGCAAGCTCTTCTGCCTGATGTAGGGTAGCATGTGCAAGTGTCCCGGAATCCTCCGTGTCCACACAGGCGTTGTCTTGTGCAGTAGGGCGTGTTATAGTAGCATCTTCTTTGGTTAACTGCGAAAGCCATACGTGACGCTTCTCGGACCGCACACACTGCCGTTTTCCGTCTCGGTCATGCACATTGTACTTCCACCTTACAAACAGTCGATACGATCCTCCATCAAACTGTTGGTTTGTCTCTTTGTACAATGCCTACCCGCCTCTTTCGCCTTGCGATTCGGGCCCCGCCGCCCAAGAGGGGCCCTTACCCTTCCTAGAACTGCAAGCCCAAATGGGGACACTTCGGGGGACACAGTACCTAACAAAACGTTGTTTACCGCACCGTGGTCGTCACTATGCGCCCCTGCGTGAAACGTGCGTGGGAAACCTTGGTCTGGCAAGCTTGTGTGAGGTGGTGTGCTGTGTGATATACTGCTGTGCGATGCCTGTGCGCCCCTCCTGGGTCTCTGCCTTGTTGGTACATATGCATACACAGTCTCCCTCGCCGACGGTCTCCATGTTGGTGAAAGCGTACACAGATTCAACAAATAGGCTAGTACTGGAAATTTGCTGACTTGGCTTCAGTATAGGAAGCGTCCCTAGTGCATTTGGGGACACTTTCCATACAAGCCAAGTCAGCCTTCGGCCCTCGGGACTGTACAGCCTCTTCCAATGAGCGGATGCGATATATTCTGGACCCTAACTTAACCTGTGCCCTATCCACTTACTCTCAAAGCGCCCCACCGCCGTACACCACCGTGATCCGATGCATATCAACAGCAATACTTCGCTTCGAGAGAGAGAAAAAGAGAGAGAGAGAGAGGGCAGGGCAAATTCATGCAGCTTGGCGACGGTAAAATCAAAAACAAGTACACCATAAGGCGTAGCCTTCTCATGGACCTTACCGCGTACCAGACCACGGCCGGCTTTCAAACTCTGACACCAATCAATCGCCTACCCAACGAGGAACCTGTCAACCCCGACACAAGCCACATGGATGCTCTGACCACAAGTACTAACACCAAGACAACCGCCTTTGGGCATTATGTAGCTTGTTTCGATAGAGCACACGTACATAGGGTAAATCGGGATTGTTCATGGAGCCGGTCTTGGTGGCGATGCCGTAAGCACGCACGTGAGCACACGCTACACTGCTGTCGTATACATGGCCATGTACCGCAGTAGACTGTCGGCCTGCAAGCACAAAACTTTTGCTGTGTTCATTGCACGATGCACTCACTCAGATGAGTGCTTGGTTTCTGTGGGCATTGCGATCATGCTGCCAAATGACAAGCTCGAATCCTTACCTGAAAGGCCGATTCGCAGGCAGCTGACCTGATGACAATGTAGTCGCAGAGCAGCAGCCTGCCAGAAGCGCCGCAGCGCCGCCGCTGTATTTGTGCGGCGTAACAAAGGCGTTCCAGGAGTAACTTGGCTACAAGGAGCGGGGGTATCAGTCCTGTGTACCCGCAAGGAAAAAAACATGTGTATTCTGGTACACTGGTTCACACGCAGGGGGGCTACAACGTCACTGGCGCTGTATGTTACGCGAGGGTCATAGAAATACAGGCAGATCCTGGGTTGTTATCACGAATCACATTTTACTTTGCATAGAGACACGGATTTTGGAGTTTGTACTTCCCAGGATCATAACAAGCCCCGTTTTTTTTTTGTCTCATGTCATGTCATGTCAAATCAGCATTGACACCTTTGCGCCGTTACAAAACGGTGTAGAAGGAAAGAGAGAAAGAGATGATACGCAGTGAAACAAGAGAGACAAGCGCTCTCGTTCAATCTAGATCGAAACAAANCCATCCTCCCTCGTGCTTGTCGCGCCATGGCTGTAAGCGCCCTGCTACAGTGAGCTGCTGCTCAACAATAACACAACCACGGTGTTCACCACTCACACCGCCGCGCGCGCTGAAAATAGGGTTTTCAGCAAAATTTCCCCACAATTTATTGTTTTTCTATGAAAACGGGGTTCGCACCGGGTCGAACCGATTCGATGCGGCCCGACTCCGGACAGGATCTTCTCGACAGCAACTTAGCTTACAGGGAATTCGCTACAGGATAAACTGGACCGGATAATTGACGGCCTTACAGGAAATCCCGGGGGGAAACCCTAGAATGTTGATACATATCATCAGTGTTAACAGGCCACTAGTGAAACAAGAGAGACAAGCGCTCTCGTTCAATCTAGATCGAAACAAGGGTCAGCGCTACTTTGTAGCACACATGACGCACACTTCCCTAGTGATTCAGCTGAGTATTTCGGAGCAAACCTACGTACGTACGTACGTACGTACGTGTAGATCACACACTTATGTGTTGGGATGGACACGTCTGCTGTTCAAAACTGAGAACCGCGGAGGAGGAGGAATCAAATAGGAAGACAATCAGAAAAGACTATTGCAAGATCGAGGTTCGAGTGCACCATCCGTTGATCATGTCCAACGAACCCTTATGACAATGACGACNTCTCGTTCAATCTAGATCGAAACAAGGGTCAGCGCTACTTTGTAGCACACATGACGCACACTTCCCTAGTGATTCAGCTGAGTATTTCGGAGCAAACCTACGTACGTACGTACGTACGTACGTACGTGTAGATCACACAATTATGTGTTGGGATGGACACGTCTGTTGTTCAAAAGTGAGAACCGCGGAGGAGGAGGAATCAAATAGGGAGAGAATCAGAAAAGACTATTGCAAGATCGAGGTTCGAGTGCACCATCCGTTGATCATGTCCAACGAACCCTTATGACAATGACGACGNGAACCGCGGAGGAGGAGGAATCAAATAGGAAGAGAATCAGAAAAGACTATTGCAAGATCGAGGTTCGAGTGCACCATCCGTTGATCATGTCCAACGAACCCTTATGACAATGACGACGGTAACCGACCTTCGGTGCAACGAACGTAGCCCATCTAACTAAGGGCAGTCTCGGCCGTGTCTTTCTATATGTGCTTGTATTGTATGCTTTCCAACATTCTCCCATCGCTGTGCGTTTCTAATCACGCTAGATATAAGACGAGTCTTGCTCGAAACGCTGCCCACCCCTCCCGCCACGTGCTGTAGAACCCCGAAACGCTTGTCCTCAAAATCACAAAGTTCATCAAGTGAAGAAAAAGAGGACACCCAAGGGGCGAGCGCACCACCGCCTCTCTCTCTCTCTCTCTCTCTCTCTCTCTCTCCCTCTCTCTCTCTCTCTCATTCTCTCTCTCTCTCTCGCAACCATTACATTAAACAAACTCTAGGTTGACCAAAATGTACACTACATCGATCGCCGAACGACACCCAACATGAACGAGGAGAACAGATGGCCTGAGCCACCTACTCCTGCCTCCACCAAAACTACCCCATTCTTGGTTCCAGGGAACACAAATATTGTCATGGAAACAAAAACAATTCCTTCCCGGCGCAGTTCCTCTCCCAGCTCAACAAGAGCACGCGTGCACGAAGTTCGCATTACGTTGGAATGGATGCGCAAAGATTCGGCACTGCTGTGCACAAAGATAGGCATACCGCAAACTTGTGAGATGCCTACACAAGGTTGGTGTCTCTGCCACTCCAGCCGTCAAGTTCCCCATACTCTACTGTAGGGTGGTCAGCCACTCATCAAACTTGGCGGGACTCCGGTTCGCGATAGGCTTCCAGTGGTCATGGAAACACGGTGTAACCCCCTTGGCCCTGATTCTCGCGACGCGCGGCTTCCAGCGCTTCTCCAGGCTGTACAGGAGGGCCTTCCCACCTCTGGCCACCACCTCCGAGACCTCTTCCTTTGAGGCACCCATCTCGTCGTAAAAAAATTGTATCGTGGGCCCCAGATTTTTTTCGGTGCTTAGGTTCAGGAGATCCGGGGAGCTGGTGATGACTCTCAGAATGACGTCTCTGGGTAGGTTCAGGGTTTCTACCATCCACGGCACCTGTTTGGCAGAAGATAGCAGCAAGTATTTCTGAGTGCTTGCTCGATAACATAGACAGATGTATCAGCGCCACTTTCGTGCGGCTCTGAGGCTTCGAGATCGCGGAAAACACTGCTGTCCATTCGCTGGCTTCAAACGACCCTGTCAAGGGCTGCTCCATGAAAAGAGGGATTTGACACTGTTGAAGTGTCCATGGTGTACGAGACGTGTACGCTCATGACAATGTCGGACGATGGCGTCATCAAGCATAATCTGAACGACCACGGACCAGGCGCCAAAATCGGGTTCGTGTGCTTGGTATGTTTGCAACAGGGGCCGAACAACTCACATAACGCAGGATCATCTCCGGTGACACAGCACCTAACACCACCAAACAACCCACCTTGTTCTTCAAGTTGTGCTCGAGGTTTGCGCTAAGGAGCCGCGGTTGCCGCACCACCAACATCCCCGCGACGGACGCGTCCAGGCCTAAATCCTCTTCCAGCCACTTGAGGGTCGGCTCAATGTTGTCCTCGACGCTGTACGCCAGGAGGTTTGGGTACTTCACAATCACCGTAATCAGCTGTTCTTGGGTCAGGCTGAGCCGCTTCTGCAGCCATACAATCTTCCAGTCCATGGTGTCCAGGGCCATGCTCAGGATTGGAGGGAAGGTCATCACGACTCTTTTTACCCTTTCCCTGTCCGTGCCTAGTCGGCCCTCCAGCCACATAAGCTTCCCTTCAATGGTCTCCACCTGCAGATGTTCAATCACGCGCGTTGTACATCGGGGAAGCGTTGGTCACGTACGACAATATTTGGTGCATTTCGCGAAAACCAAAAATACATCATTCATTGGGATCACGAAACGCACATGAAGGGAAAGGTCAACACGACTCCACGTGCCATTTTCTCCCCAAACCCTAGGCATGCATGAAGCCATGTTAAGTTGTCCATCCTTCAACGAACGAACCCTGTACCTAACGCAGAAACACCGTACGTACATACGACACGAGATGACACACCTACATCACACAAGACACCCCCTCCAGAGTACCACACCCAGTGCCGAATACTGTTGGATTTCAAACGAGGAGCCGAAATACCCCCCATTTTTATGTAATATGGCACCCCCTCCCGAGGTTGGGACGAACGAAATCACCTAGCACTGCTATTGTGACCCCGGTTTTGTTGCAAAAGCATGGTCGTAGATGCAGCATGTCTTTCTGTGTTTGTGGGGGGGGGAAGGTGGGGGCAATCAATGGAAGCTAGTTGTACTCTGCGACTACGCGCTTCACAGCTGGTTGATCGAGGCTTCTCCAATGCAAATAAATCAACTTTCATTTCTCCCTCGCCTGCTTGGCATATTCTCGTTGTGCCAGGCAACGGTGATGGATGAATATTCTACCACATGGCAATTTTTCGCTGTTGTCGGGATGAGGGCGCTGTTGGCGTTGATTCGCTGGGGTCATATGATCAGGGCGTCTACCACGTCCCCTGCTATCACACGCTCCCCCTCATTTCCACACGGACTGGAAGTGCGCCCGGCAAGACTTCAACAGTAGGCAGGTGGGTATCAGTGGTGTACCTCCCCCGCTCAGTACCGCACAACCTGCAAATACGGCAGCAGTACGGGAGTTCATTGCAGGCAGTAGTATCACAAACCCTCACATCGTGCCCTGCACGTATGGCAGCAGGCATGGTGCAAACATATTTGCAGGCAGCGCGAACACGTACCCCTAATGACAACACCCCTTTGGGTGCAAGTGTTCTGCAGTGGTATCACACACCCTTCATACCTCCCGCGACCTGCGCTCTATCACCGGGCTACGCAAGGTAACACCCCACACACACAGAATAAATAACCGGTGACATATTTCTCAAAAACCCAAAACGTTTTTCCCGTAGTGTGGTATCTTGGGCCGTCGGTAGTCCAATTATTCTTGTGTAAAAATGAGGAAAAGTAGTTCAGGCACGCGCCAGTCGTAGGACCCGGCGTTCGCTAGCTGAGCATGGGTCAGTGCAACACCAACACCAGGAGCAACAACCAAAGGGAAAACCTTGAGCGCCAAGACACGAGGGCTCCGACCAACCAACTTCCGGATCCCGATCGCGTCCAATCCCATCCGTTCTCGTAGCCAGGCCAGCTTTGGCCTCATGTTTTCCTCCACACTGAAGGTGAAGAAGGACGGCGAGTTCCTAACGATGCGCTTCACCTCAACCTGGTTCATGGCAAAACGACATACCTGGTTAGACGTAAAAAACGCCAAGGTCCCGCCTATAACAAACCCTTCCAAATGTTGCCGTTCGGCAGTGCTACACCGGTTTGTCTCAGACGAGCGGCAACAAGTGAAAATACGCTGAACAGAAACAATATCGATGTACCGGGGGCGAGTGTTTCTGCAGGTATGAATGATTTCCCTGAACCCGTCTCTTCCCCATCCCGCCGTAAAGGCACTCACATCGGACAGGTTGAGTTCCTCGCCGCGCAAGAACGCGAGCTTCTTGTCCAGGGTGTCCTGCAGGAGTACCAGAACAGAGGACACAGCCATCACGAGTTTCGTCGAGGCCTTCTTGTCCAGGCCAAGGGTGTCCTTCATCCATTCCAGCTTGGGCTTGAGGTTCGCCTCGACGCTTAGCCCAAGGATCACCGGAGCTGTCGATATCATCTTGCCCATGGCCTGGTCATCCAAACCCAATTCCTTCTGCAGCCATTCCAGCTTCGGCTCGAGGTTTTCCACGATCCGGTTACTTACACACTTTGTGTAAGAATCCGTTTTTCGATTGGGAGAGAGGGGGGGGCGGCAGGTGGGCCGGGTTGTCAGGAATGAGTTACGTCTCTGGAACATACGGTCCTGAGTACATTTAAAAGAATACAAAACACATACTTGAAGGTCGAGCTGCGGAACAGCGACGGATCGCACCTGTAATGGCGACGAAAGAAAAGGGTGAGCTAATCACAAATGTTCGAGTATGAGCGTACGTTAAAGAAGCACCATCAGGACGACAAAAGGACCATAAAGTTCGCTGCAAATTGCCTTCAACAAGAAATAAGCTCAAGACAGGCTGTGCCGATGCCCCGCAAACCCAACATTAAACGGTTTTTATCATTCTATTTCGTGTGAGTAACGAAGCACCTGTGGGTAGAACTCCATCATCTTCGCCAAAGTCGCGTCATTGAGGAGCAGCCGCTCCTGGATCCACCGGCCCCTTGCCTCCGTCGTCGACTTTGCGGCCGCTTCCACAGGAAAGTTCAAGAGCTCTGTCGCCTCCGCTGATTTGCTCGCATCAGCCAGGTTTTCCGCTTTTATCCGCATCATCTCCTTCTCATCCCGCCTATGTTGCGATTCCGAAGACTCCTTGACCTCAACTAACGATGGGTTCTTTCTCGGCCTTCCGCGTCTCTTCGGCTTTCCCCGTCTCACCTGTTCCGGCATCGGCCTCTTCATCGACACAACCAATTCCCTGGTCGCCTGCACCAGCTTTGCGTCAGCAGCCGAGGGTGGCGGTGGCTCCGGGAGAGCCGCAAACGCGGCAACCAGATCCTCCTCCTCTTCTTCATCAAGTCCGAGGCGCCCGATCCACCCCGGAAGAGTCTCCGGCGCGGGGGCTGTGGCGGACGCCGTCGTAGGACTGCTACTGCTCACCTGCTGGCAAGCTTGGGCGCCGTGGACAGGGTGTCGTTCCTCCGCACTTCGGCTACGACGCCGACGGCTGTTTCGACTATCGTCGACTGCGGCGGACGGTGGGGACAACGACGACGACGGTAACGACAAGAAGCACCGCAGGAGCCGCGTGCTGCCACCGATGCTGCTGCCGTGACGTCCGTCCCCGATGCCACCGCGGATTCCCTCGGCACCACCCCGCTCGCCCAGAAAAGGGCACGCATCCCAAAAATTGGCTATCAGCGGCCGGAGCGGGCCGCTGGTGGGCGCCGATTGCAGGGCAAACATGTGGAATCTTTGGACAACAACCTTTTCCCTCTCTTCCTCCGCGCGCTGTTCCCCACTCCACCCGATTCGCTCGCTCTGGCTCTCGTTATCTTCGTTCCTGCCAGTGTGCGTTCTCCTCGCACGACAGATGACGTTCTTTCCGAATATAGAGGCCGGCTGTCAGCCCGGGATCGCGCAGCTTAACACCTGAGCAGGCGGGTCAACGGACGAGTGAGTGACACTGTTATGGGGGCCATCGGTATCGCACGGAACGCTTTTCCCGAAGGACATGCATGTGTTTTCCAAGGGCGTTGTACACAAGAAGAAAAATTAAGCGCGAACTCCTGAGTGCCCCCGGCTGATACGGCAAACAGAAAACGCCAAAAGTTGTGTAGAACGGAGCCAGAATCGACGGGAAGAACACGAAGTGCGCTGCAGCGGTAGTCGCAACGATTCGAGCCACGAGTTGATGGACGAGTTGGACAAGACCTATACATAGCTTGCGTGTGTCGAGTGTTACAGATTTTCGGAGTGTTTTTTGGACGCACCACCCGAGGTGACGGCAAGAAGGCCAGATTTGAGTGCAAACTAACCATGCAATTGCATCTGGGTTGTAGATATCAAACATGAACATGTAGCACACATCGCTGTTCCTGCATCGGTCTTGCGCACACATACGTTTGTGCGGAATGTCGACGTCGAAGGTGGCGGTATGTACACATGATTTGACCGTGGCGAATATATGCATGATTAAATTGTGCTGCTGCAATAAGAATGCGAGACAAGAGGAGAACGCAGGGCGCTCAGCATATTCATGTAAACTGAGGTTCGCAGTTCAGCTTCCATACCGGTAGTGGGAGTGTAAGTATCATGCGTGACGGCGAGCTAAGAAGCGTTCCCGTGCAGCTGCCCAGGTCTCCGGAACGTGAAACCGCTTATCGTAGACGTATCTCTCATTGGAAAGTCCAGACTTTATATCGCTTCCGAGTCACGTCGACCAACACCACACAACCAAACCCGAGACCGCCACAGTAGTACCCTGCAGCAGTAAGTCCACTCCATAGTCAAGTGTTGCGGCTCCCGTGAGCACTCGACTCTGCATGAAGAACTAATTTGCGTCCAGGTGCCCGCATGTTGCGCCCTCCCTTCCTCGAACAAGACGGCACGGACATCCACTCACCGTCTTGCCTGCAACCCGCCAAGCGCCACCTCTGAATGTAGCAGAACCTCGGTTGTATCCTTGATGCCTCCGAAGGGTATTTGCCAAGTGCCAACTCCCTCAACCACCGCCACGCCGAGCTCTACCGGTCTGTCGGTGCTGCTGTACATGCACCAGCACGGATCCCCCCATCATGGCGGCGAGATTGGCGAAATGATTCTGCGGTGCCGCCGTCCATCCGTTCCTGCGCAGCGGTCAGGTCCTGTACTGTCCAGTCCTGTCCTGTCCAGTCCTGTCCTGTGCAGTGGCGATTCCTCGGTTGATTCCATACTTCATACGCGTCGAGCCACCGCCAACAAGGGCAAGTGAGTTTCGATCGTGTACGTGTGTTTTCGCCAGTAAGACCAATGACGAGTCAGCGACATCGCACAGCATTACGCTGCTTGCTGATTGCAGATATCTTTTCACGCCCCGATTGGGCTGCACGATTGGCGCAAGGACAAGGCAACCGGGAAGCTCGACGAGCATGTTCCTAAAGCTCAAGAAGTCCTATGTCCCTCCCGGAACATCTGTCGGCCGTGCTATGGGACAGCATGCGTACATGTTTGGTAGATGTCAAAGCAGCCAACGCTACACTCGCCGAAAGCAGCTATTCCCATGATGCGTGCCCTCGGGAAGAGACAGAGGATGCGACTGCTTGTTGTTCACTCCGTATCTTCGGCGCGGGAAAGGCAAAGGGCGCCGTTCGAGCCCAAATAACGTAATCAACTCTTTGCTGATTTTCTTAACGGCCGAAATAGCGCCCCGGCAATCACACACAAAAATGTGCTTCTGTTCCCGCAGTCCAGGAGGTATGGTCAAAGCAGTGGAACATGACAGGTTCGGACCCAGAGAGTTTGCGGAATATTTCGGACAGATGCGACGGCCTTCGCCAGCCCACAGCATGTTTGACAAAAAACAAGCTCGCGAGCATCAGCACGGGCAACAGATGAAAAATGCACTCTTAAAATGTAAGCGAATTTCGCATTTTGTTTTCCGCACCCTTTCCTCTCTCCGCGCTTCGCGATTTGGCTTAGTCATTGCGCAACCAGGGGACATCGGATAAGACCATGCGGCAGGGGGGACACTCCAAGCCGCCACGGGAGGGAAACTCCGCCCTGTACACCGCTGTCTGCCGGGGAGACGCCAATCTTGCGGCGGAGCTCCTGAAGTCGAAGCGACATGGGCAGCCCGACGGGAGCGCGGCGGCGGCGGCAGGCGCACCGGCCGCGTTAGACTTGGAGGAGCTCTCCCGCGGCTCCACCGCCCTCCACGCCGCCTGCGGGACGTGGCAGTCCCGGATCGTGGCAATGCTGATCGAGGCGGGGGCCGACCCTAACACGGTCAGCCCCAAAGACGGCTACAGCCCTCTCCTGATTGCCGTGGGGTGAGAGAGCGAGGCATCGTCAAGCCTCTGCTGGAGGCCAAGGCGGACCCGGAATTGTCCAGCCACGCCGAGGGCATCGCACCCCTCCACATGGCCGCCTCGCAGGGGATGACGGAAATCATCCTCGACTTGCTGCGCGCCGGCGCGAACCAGCTGCAGCCCACGCTGGGCAAGTTGCTTGCCCCCATCCACTACGCCAGCTCCTCCGGTTGCGTGGACACCCTCGAGCTGCTCGTGGAGGGAGCAGCAGCGGCGACGTGCGACGATTCCTCGCGCGCAAGCTCCTGCTCCAGCTGAGCGACGCGCGGGGCCACCGGCCCCTACACTGCGCCGTTCGGGACGGGGCGCGCGCCCGGGACACGGTGCTGACGCTGCTCGGGATGGGCGCCGAAGTGGACGGCGGGGCCCTCCCGGCCCTCCCGCTGCCCCCGGCCCCGCTGATGCTTGCCGGCGATCGCCAAGGTCCTCATCGAGGCCGGCGCGAACGTCAACGTTCGACAGGGACGGCGAGACGGTCCTCCACCTTTCGGCCCGCATGTGCGACGCGGCCACGGCCGGGCTGCTGCTGGCAGGCGGGGCCGACCCCCTCGCCCGGACCCGCCCCGGCCTCGACGCCGACGCTTGCGTGAGGATGCCCGTGAGGCCTCTCCGACCGGCCCACTGCCGCCCCCGACGAAGGCCGACGTGGAGACCTTCGGCCGGCTGCTGGCCAGGGCGCCGGCTCTCCGAGGTTCCTCGTGGCGGTGGCCAGTCCGTGGGAGGGGTAGCTCTTGTTCCGCTTCCGTGCGCCACGCGTCGACGCCTGCCGCCACGGCTTTCCCGAAGGGACTTGACCTTCTCGTGCGGGGCAGCCACAGCGACAGCCGACGGCAGCACTTGGACAAGCGCTGCCGCAGGAACGGCGGTTGGGCTCCGCTTCCGTCTTTATTGTGGAGGTACGCGGTGTTTCCCACGATTGGTGTTGCTAGGTCAGACCTGGTTCAATCTAGTGTACCTCGTCTACGGTTTAGCGTGCGTGTTGCTTCCTTCTGGGTGCCGTTACGTCGTAAGAAGTCCGAGTTCGTCCATGGACAAAAGACACAAGTACCTGCATACCTTTGTGTGGTCGGCCTTCATTCAACTTACTTTAAACTGGGCGGGCGGTCTTTGCCGGACTGCCAGGTTCTGGTTGCCCCATGCTAAATTGTTCTTTTATTACCTCACGAGGCTGGGCCCTTTGCTTGGTCTGCATGTTGTTGCCGTCGAGTGTGCACGCAAAATTCGGTTCATATCCAACTTTGGTTGGCAATGACATTCCTCCGCAAAAATCTGCGTTGGGGCGTCGCGTTGGCTCGTCCCGGGTTGCTACCTGCAATTATCTCGACGAACACTTGAAGCTTAGCGATCTCTTCTGAAGTCGTTCCTTTCGTGCATGCTTTAGTCGGTTATTCGGGCACTGCTGCGCTGTGTTTTTCTTGGCCGCGTTTCATACACCAGGTATTCCCGCAAGTTGTGACACCCTCCCAGGAGAAGTCGACGGATATCTCGAAACCAGGATGATGACAGCAGCCGCCGGCGGTATGTGTCGACCAGCCTTGTGTAAGACGCTTGCGCTTGTTCCTCCGCGCACTACTAGTAAACCGGGAATCTTGTGTGCGTTTTACGTTGCGTTGTTTGGCCACTGCTACTTTTGAGGAGGTTGAGGAAAGGGCGACACGCAAAATGTGAAGATGAGGTTGGGCGTACTACACTATAATAGTGCGCAAGGCTTATTTTGGCCCGGCTTGAAGTGTTTTGACGCTTGAAGAGGTAGTTGTCCTCCGATGCTCCTGGTGCAAGGTCAGCTTCGACGCGCTGCCACACACTTGTCACTTCGATATGACGGGCGCGGTGGGGTAATCAGTATCACTACTTCTGCGGTGGAAGGTTGGGATCTATCCAGGCACAGCGAAGGAGTGCGTTGTTTTAAGCGCTCTCTGCGCAGAATGGCCCCAGGACAACGTCAAGGCGCGTCGGTTGGTTGGTGAGCATTAAGCATCGGGTGGTTGATATAGATTACGAACGTTAGGTCCACCAATATATCGGTACATGTAAGACTACGAAGGATTTTCGATCTCCTCTGGTCACGGCGAACTGTCAAAAAGGCTTCCATGCTACTGAACATAAATGAAAGACAGCCTCGGGGGCGTCCTCAAACCTCACACCGACACGCGTGCCGGCCTTCCACGCCCGAATGTCTCGAGCACAAGATGCGTCTTCAGCGCTCAAGAACCTCTTATATTTGCGCCGGGATTGCGGCAATTTCCTCTGTGTCGTATCCCAACACCGAATATGTTGGTGTGGTGCAGGATTCTCAACTGAGCACTTCTCCTAAAAGGTCAACTTTTTTTTTCTCTAGCTGGATTTTTTTCAAAGAACTCCCAGGTTCTGTAAGGGATGGCGCGTACTTTTGTATATGCCAAGGCCGCCTAGGGACTATCCATCGAGGGCCTAAATGGGAGTCTTGGGGTTCAGGCCGACACACCCAGCGCTGAGCTCCCACAACCTCTTGCCCTTGGCCAAGTCCCGCGCCTCTACCGAAACGGCCTGCTCCGAGAACGCCGACTCGGGTTTCCCAGGCTCCGTCGCGAAAAACCTACCGCCCGCCGCCCCGTCCTGCAGGGAGAGCTCCGTCACCATCTCCACCAAGGTGTCCCCCCCCTGTCCCACGGTTGCTGCCACCTGATGGAGAGGAAGGGTGTTGGCGCGCGCAGAGGGGGGGGGGGCGTACTCACGGTTTGCGTGCCTTCGCGGTTTGGGAGGGGGTTGTGGTGGGATATCGGCGCCACGAGGAGACGCTCGATGCGCCGAGAATGAATGACAAGACGCTCTCGACCCACGAATGCCGGTACTAGAAGACGTGATTTATTGCCGCGGTATTGGGGACAACCTGACAAGATGAAGTTGCACGCGATTCCGCAGGTATTCCACCGTTCGACAGTGCACCGCCGTTTGAACTCCTGTGGAATTGGCGGCGTTTTTCCCTTCTTTCGGGAGATGTTTTCAAGTTAAGGCAGCGGGCTTGACAGAAAAAACTGTCGAAAAGCCACGATTATACTACCACACATCACGGCAGACAAACACACTGGGTGGAATCATGGAGCGAATCCACCGCGGTTCCCTTGAGATGCCACCCTTTCTCGCTCAACTTGGTGCTTTCCACAAGGTCCAAGTGATGCAAGGCGCGGGTGGTGTGTAATTCGCCCAGAGAACTTGACAGCGAGATCACCAACTCCACACTTTTCGCTGCACCGACACAAGTAGTTGTGGTTGGGGAGAATTGATCTTTCAAATCGTCCAGCTTGTGGCTGATATCGTGTGCATCAACGGGGACGATGCGCCATGGCAGATAGTCTGCATACATTGACGCATTCTACCCGCAACATGAACAACTCTCCGGGGTAGTCAGTTTCTGCTGAACAGGCTCGAACAATGGGTAATTCACCGTAATTTTGGCGTTCGTTGCATGGATCGAGATATAATCCTCCGTTGCTGCTGTTGACGGCCAGATGCTTGACATGCGACGAAACACATATTCACAAATCTGAGCACACCTCTCTGGTCGCTTTTCGTACGTCCAACGAAAGAAAAAAACGATGTTGGTCGATAACCTTGGACACAACTGTCGGGATCTTGGCCTTCTCGACAGCTGGAGAACACAAGTGGCGCAGGGTGGTGTACCAAGCGTGTACGGTGTAAAGACTTCGTACACGACAACACCAGCGGGAAGCTTTGCCACGAAACGCGCACCGAGTCTGCCTCGTGCGGTACACGACCAAATACAAACACACCCTCCCTCAACCAACACCAGCAACCAATCACTGTAATAACGAACGCGTGGTGCTCACCTTGATGAGGTTGGTGGCCGCGAAGTCGAAGATCTTGGAGAAGATCGGGTTCTGGTTCCGGAACAGGCCGCTGCTGGGGATCAGCCCCGGAGAGAAGCAGTCCACCTTAACGGCGGACCGTCTCGCGGACAGTCGCCGCTGCGCCTCCAGCGTGAACAGGACGTTGCAGAGCTTCGAGTCCTTGTCTGGAAATTAACGGAGGGAGGCGGGGGGGGGGAATGTTCATGCTCTCTATGCCTTAGACCATTGACCACGCTTGAACAAGATACTTGCAGAGCTTCGTGTCCTTGTCTGGCAATTGGAGGGACGGGGCGGGTCTCATGTTTTGCATGCTTGAGCTGTTGGAGCAATCACCACGCATGGACAAGTCATTGCACAGCTTCGAGCCCTTGTCTGGCAACTGAGGGATGGGGCTCGTGTTTTGTACGCCTTATATCACTGACCACGCGTCCTCGAGAGGACGGAACGTTGTTCCCATCGGACCTATCACCCTCGGCCAATCGTCCCTTCCTACTTTGCCCAAGGTAACTAAAAAAACGCATCCCTATTCTGTATCTATTCCACTATTCCGGCAAGCTACCGTCTTCGTGGGGGTCAAGACCACAAACAGCAACACCGCAGGCAGGAAGGCAAAAAAAAAAAGCAGCGTAGGCCCGTCCGGTAGTCAACAGCGAGGCTTCGATGAGAAACCTCGTATGCAAATGCACCGGCGACGATCGTCGGGCGTACGCTGCTGTTGGAGGCCCTGCTAAAGCAGAGGGAGGCTCTGAAACCAAGGGCGACACCCCATTTGGCGTGGACCACACGCACATTTCAAACAAACTGAAACAAACGGCAGGACGGGTTTTGTTTCGACCACATGAGCTCGCAACAGCAGTTTGGCATCCACCACAAATGCGGCAGATGCGAACCCAGGCTCAACCTCAATCGCAACTACACATCGGTTCCGAAAGAACACACAGCGTTAAGGGCCGTGGCTTGGGCAGTCCAACCCATTTAACGGCCACCGCCCTGGACATGACGGGGAAGAAATGAGAAGAGAGTTCAGTTTCCAAAGCTCTAGCGTTCAAGGTGTAGACACTCGAATCTCTTGAAGGCGAGACGAAGAACGATTCCCGCGTGCAAGACAAGGGAAGCAGCGGGAGCGGGTGGTGAGGTGGTACAGACGCCAAAATGCTGCCATTTGCAGGCAAAACCAAACGTTGGAGGTGATGGGATGACACGCCTTGCCCCACCAGTGGAAACCCTGGAAAAGATACTCAAAACTCACAAGCCTTGTCCCCGTCGTATTCGCCACCATCTACCATGTCGAATTTCTTGGACTCGCCGTCCGCAGCGAGATATCGCTCCAGCCCACTCATGTCTCCAAGAGTCGCCTGCGGCATGGCCGCGTTGTTGAGGAGGGTGAATGGGGAGGGGGAGCCATGCAGATAAGGGATGGAGGGGGTGCTGATGGTTGGCGGAGCCGTTACAACGACAACAAAGATGGTCGACCTCTGCGTAAACAAGTTGCAAGTAGAGAAAATAATCAACTACACTTCGAAGTACCATGACAGCGCCAGGGACTTCGCATTATTTCAAGCTTAGAAAGAGAGTACATGCCATCCATTATTCTCGAACTGCCGTCGGACAAACGCAGGTTCTTCCTCAGCAACCTGTTCGTACACCTTGCACTCCTCCCTACTACCGTCTCTCGCATTTGCATTCAAAGCTCCACACGCCACAGCAGTAGTACCGACGTACCGGCGACTCCTGGTATCTCATATGTATTCCCAAGCAATACAAACAAATTTAAACGGGTACTAAGAAAAAAACATCAGGCGGGTCGGAGCCCGACTTTTTAATGCTCCGTGCCGTTCGTCTTCACATTGAAAAACCGTCCCGGTCTCTGCAAAACAACGCATACACCATCCACACCGTGCACAGCAGTACCGCTATTAACTTCTATTCTTCGGTCTGACCTTGGAGCCTTGGTTGCCCCCTGGAGTGTCCGGGTCATGGACGCTGCTCGCGGTCACCACAAGCCTCGGAGTTCGAAGCGCACCGGCCTCCAGCGGCTGCCGAAACACACACACACATACGTGCATGTATACGGAGCCCCGGGGGCGGTTGAGGGGGCAGAGCAGCCAAGACGTTCAGGAGGGAGGGATGGGATACAATTACCGCATTTGGAGGTTTGCGACAGAGCAACGCAACTCTGCGCCCCCTCGAGCTGCTCGCACGCGCTTGACTTCAACTACGGGACCTTCACAGGGACCCAAAAACCGACCTTGATGAGAAGGTTGGCCAGGAGGAAATGGCCCAAGTGGTTAGTCCCCACGGTCTCCTCGAAGCCTTCCGTGCAGTAGCCGGGAGGGCCTTTCGTGCTGGGGGCCATGCCTGGGGCGCCAGCAGGGAGTGGGGGGAGGAGGGGAGGTCATGTGTTACGTCCGCCAATTGGTCACATACAACACATGACGACCACCACACATGCCATAAACATAGGGCGCCCTGTACGACATAGCCTCCACCATTAAAGCAAAAGAAGATCCACCCCCCAAACTATCGAAACGCGAATCCAGTTCAAGGGACTGTTCATTTCAAGAGGCATGCCACGCGAGTTTGCACAATCGCTCGAACACGCCATGTAAAATCGAGCCAAAGCAACGAATTACGACCCGCTCCCCCCCCCCTGCTCTCACCAGCGTTGAGGCACAGCGTGTCGATGGGCTTCCCTTTCCAGGCGTCGACGAAGGCCCGAACGCTTTCCAAAGAGGACAGGTCGCACGCGAACGCCCCCGCGGCCCCCGACGCCTCGGCCGCCGCCTTAGCCTTAGCTTCCGTGCGGCAGGCCAAGTGCACGTCGTGCCCCATCGCCACCTTTTCCGGAGAACCAACGCGACGGCCAAAACTGTACTTTATGCATGAACTTTGCCACGGCCAGGGAGTTCGGCCCAAAATGGTAGTACAATACATGAACGTTACTACGGCCTTAGCAGCTTCGGCAAAAATGGCAGTACAATACGTGAACTGTGCTACGGCCGGGGAGCTTCGGTCATTCAGATATTGACGGCAGCAGAACTGACCAATTGAAGGCACCGCCGGACGTTTCGTTGTCTTTGCGTTTTTTTAAACTCAGGATTCCGTTGTTTCTGTGTACAACGTTGTCAACACGCTGGTGCGCGATGCACGAACAAGGCGGCACACGCTGGGATGCTCCGGAACCGAATCATAACCGCCGCCATACGCGCACGCTCAAAACGACACACGTTGCTAACACTTTGCTCGCTGGACGAGCACGACGACTAGTGGTCGAGTCTAGGAGTCCTTGCATTCACCTACAGACATGTCTACCCTAGGAGTGGAGCTGTAGAATTCAACGTTTTTTACCGTCGATGAAGCCAAAGCTCCAAACAAACAAAAAAGCCAACGGTGTGCCGAACGGAGTTGGTGCCATTACGGCAACGCTATAGCGGTTACCGTAGGTTGCATAAGATATCACACCCCCCGGACCGATTCTCGAAGCTCGATTTGTCGGCAGGAAAAGAAGTGACGATGACGAAAATGGCGGCATTGGGACCGTGTCGTCGAGAACTTCCCAAAACATATCCTTCGGTTTCGGCATCCTCTTCGTCGTGGAGAAATCGAGCTTTGAAAATCGGTCCAGGGGGTGTGATATCTTATGCAACCTACGGTACGCATCGGACGGTACGACGAGTGACTAACGAACATGCGTGGATCAAGTGGCTGAGTCGCGCGTCCCGATTCCCGCGGTCGCAGCAAGATCACAACCAGGACAAAAAAACGAAGTACGATATACTTAGAGGAGCACACACGTACCAGCTTCGTTGCAGCATCAAGTCCAATCCCGCTGCTGGCGCCGGTCAACACCACCGTCCTCTTCCCCGTCCCCTCCGCCTGCAAAAAAGAGACATGGTAGATCACCACTGTGAGGGCAAGCCCTCAGGCTCACTGATCGCGCCGAGCAGTTATGGAGCAGAGAGTACACAGCACCAGACTGTCTCCCACTACAGCATTTGTTCCACAGGGATAGCATTCGTGGTTGTTACTGCTGTAACACGCCAATTACACAAGGTTGACAGCAGTATTTAGAAAATGTACAATCAAGACTACCCGTTCGACTTGAAACCACAGTCGACCGGGGGGTGTTGAATTCTTGGAAGTGGTGAGCGGGAAACAAACCGGCTGGATACTGGGCGAAGCGTGTTCGTATCAGGAGTAAACAGTTTTCCCGCGGCCGTGTGTTCCTTCGCAGAAATCTCGCCTGCCTTGGGCCCGCGAGCAGGGCGGCGAGCGCTGCGCCGGCCGCGGTGACGCTGAAACCCCCTCGCGTCATCTTCAGGCCCTCCCGGAATAAGTTCGTAGGCCATTTGCTGCTGCTGCTGCTGGTGGTACCCATACTGCTGTCGCTGTCGCTGCTGCTGCTAGCGAGGGGTCTTGCGGGGGTCTAACAGGGGGAAGGTAGCGCGGGGCGGGGTATCGTGGGTAAGTGCATGTTTGGAGGAAGGGGACTGTTCCGAAATGGCAGCATGGAAATTTTGCTGTCGGAGTCGCTTCTAGCCCTGGGTTCGCGCGTAGGATGCTGCTGTTCATCGTCATTCTCCGCCCACCTACAAGTACAGGTGTATCAACTGATGTGATCCGAAGTGCTGTACCCTGGTATCATCCCCGGCAGAGACAGACGTTGTTGGAAGGAATCTCGTCAGATCTTGACTAATCATGATAATCACGATTGTGGGCAACGAGTTCGCATCTAAAGTATCGATATCCTGAAGCTAGCAGGCCTCCTCATGGCTATACACGGCCGGGTCGCATCAGCGTCTGGCGCGACTGCTGTATCAGAGCGGTGACACCAGCGGGTTGGCGGTCATGATACATACCCACCTGCCTCATGATCGGATTGTAGGACGATGATGATGAAGAGTAAGGTGTCGGCGCGACCATGAACGAAAGCGCATGTTGCGCCATACCCGCAGAGGACAGCAGGAGAAGCGGCAAAGATTTCTTCATCGTGCGCTTCGCTACAACGCTGCGGCGCTCACAGCAGTGCTCCAACGAGCGGGGCGCGGACGGTGGCAAGTCAAGTGCTGTGGTCGGGGCTACGTGGAGTCGATATTGATTTTTTCACCATCTGAGTGCCCCCCCCCGCTGAGGCGGCGAAACCTTTACAATCAGTGAATCAGTAATCAGTGATTTGAGTCGAAAAGACTCACCGCAAAGCTGGCCCCACTGCCCTGCCCAACGTCAAGCACACCCACACACACAGCAGAGTCACACCACATCAACATCGATGCACAGCAACAGACTTGCCAACCTCCGTTCAGAGAGAGCTTAACGGAAGGATTGGAGAGTCGCGCCCATTTTCCCTTGTGGCTGGTGTTGCCACAGGCTACGGCAGAGACCGTTTTGTTCTGCCTTCTTCTGCCGCTGTGGTGTGTTTGGAGGAGGTTGGCATACATACACGTACCTGCTGCGTTTTGCAGACATCGCGTACTACCACTGCTCTCGCTCAACCTGGGGGGAAGGCTTGTCTTCTCAGAGGACGAGAGCCGGCAGCGGCGGCAACGACCATGGGGAACATGCTTGACATGAGCATTCACGAATACGCAGAGGTGAGGCTGCGAGTGCGGGGTTGCTACAACAGGACACGAAACCCACAGCCAGGTTCGTTCGGCGGGGTGTTTGTCCTCAAAGACGATGATGCTGGGCGCAGAGAGGGCGGATTTTGCTCTCTGTGCTGGCTCCAATTCTCAAATTTGGTCTTTGACCGCATGGCTCACTTTCACAGATTCCGTCTTGTATGTACACAGGCTTGCAGACAGCAGTTTTGCAGTCATAGACTACCCACTAAAACAATGAAAAAATATTGAGACAGACCTCTTGAACGACAGACTGCTGTGGGTGCATGGCACTGCTGTAGACTGCTGTGTTTTTTATCTGCACTTTTCACATGTGAACATGCAAATACGTTGGTTTTTGACTCCTTCGTCTAACTGCTGTTCGAAGGAGCCAGTGAAATGGCTAGAGCAGCAGCAGTAGTTTACCATCATCTGAACTTCCTTCCTTCACGCAGAGGAAGCTCCCGCGAGAGATCGAGCACAGAAAAGAGCGGCCGAGACACAGAGAGAGCGATAAGAGAGACGGAGAGAGGGGAGCAACAACGCGTTGGGGTATGTGTACAAGGAGAGGCTCGCATGTGATGGAATGCACAGCAAGTCAAATATGCCGTTATGTACAAATATTAGCTATAGCATGCATTTGCACATACATCCACTACGAACCTGAGCCATCTCCGAGAGGAACAGGAGATCTTGCGTGCGTTGTATCTACATTCACGCATGTTGCGGTATCCACGATGACCGAATTCTAGAGCAAGGAGCGCGTCTATTTTAGCGTTTTTGACGCACTGCTATGTTCTACTCCTGCGGTGTAGCTGTCTCGTCCGGAAAAAACATAAACAAGATACATGGATACATGGATACATGCGCACAAAGACAAGTAGATCATGTACTTCCGGACACAAACACTTCGAGCACCAGGTAATAACCAATCTTCTTCTAGTTCGTGTACGCATTGGGAAGAGCGTGCTACACTCTACTCGCATCAAAAATCGAAGGCAAAGCACCGCAGGAGGGGTGGGTAGGGGAACTCAGGGAGACAAGCCCTTCTGTGTGACCACGGGTTGGAGCAAGAACGGCACAAGTATGTTTTGTTGTGAGGACTGATATTGAAGTGAAGACAATAATAAAAAGAATCTCTCCATTTAAGAGCGAAATATTCGAACAGCCACGCGACGTGTTTCTTACTTGGAACGGCAGACAGGTGTCTGCTGTACACAGTACGCTAAGGTGTTTTGAGTGTTTCGAAGAACGGAAAAAGTGGAAATAACTCAGGAATTGACCCCAAGTCTAGCGCTGGTTGGCCAAGCCCAACTTGCGCCGTTTTTGTTTTTTGGCGCCTCGCCCTGCGGTCGGTGTACTTCGATCTGACTGCTGGAGTCAGGTACTGCATGTACTTATTTGTAGCTGTTTTTCTGCCGTTCACGTCAACGCCTTCCTGTCGCAAGGAACGCCCGCATAGGCCGTGAATTGGAACCAAACTCCCCGTCATCCCAAGAGGAAATCGAATACGAAATGAATGAAAACCAATCGTCCTCTGCCACTTGCGTCTCCTTCGAATGAAGAGCACATGGAGGCTGGACAGCAGTTAGTTTTGTATCACCGATCCTCACTTGTTTCTGCACCCGCTGCCCACGCACGTCTTCGACGTCTTCGACGATCACACCGCTCACGAAGAAGCCGTATGAATGGCTGTTAAAGCATGGGGCGATTGCTTTATTGCCTTTTCTCGTTTAGTTGTTTGCTTCGAATGCGCTGCTAACCGCCCGACCGACGAAAACACGTCGTTCTTACAATAGCATCTAATGGGACAAATAACTCGCACGATAGACTGGGAATTTATCCAAATGTTTTTTTTTACCATGTACAGCAGAATATCTCTACTTTCTTGGTATGATTTCGACGAATCCTTGTTGGATCTAGTCGTCGATTTTGACGCGTGTGGGTATGTTTTGGACGCAACAACCGCGGTCACTCACACAGGAGGAGGGAGAGCCCACAAAGAACATATATTACTTCGAAGCTTGTTGTTGTTGAAGTCACATTAAACCGTATGCCAGTTGCTAAATGCCAAAATCTAGCAAAGACTCTCGGCCCGTGGTCACGAAAGTGCTAGAGCCATCTGAGGATCTAAAGAACACGCACACGTAGCAAGAAAAAGGTATACAAGAGCCCGAAGAGGTACTACTACACCTATATATAATCCCTGCAGCACCGTACGCGTGCCCAAAACTGAACTACACGTCCGTCTCACCGTTCGACTACAGCAACATCACCCCCTACCTGTCCCACTCTGTACCAAAACAAATGATTGCCGACTACAGCATACTTGCTGTCTGAAGTGCTGTCTGTACAAAAACACCATGGTAGGCATGGAACAAGAAGCTGGCGGGGCACAAAGCTGCTGTCTGAAGTGCTGTCAGAATGTGTCTGCGGACGTACAGTGAAAAAGAACAACCAACCAAAGCCATGATTGCAATGGACAATCACCCGAACCTCTCCCGATCGTCTGTGTTAGGCACGCAGTGAAAATATCGACAATAGCTAAGAATCGTTCCACATTGAAGGGGTCTTCCACGATCAGGCACATAACCAAGGCACCCGGGTTAGCCACGCCATCTCTGACGGGTCTCTCTACAAAACCAGTGACGACGTCATCACATAGAACCAACACCGAAAATCAGGAAAAAAACGAGAAAAATTGACAACACAGATCAGATATAAATGTTTGTCCGTGCGCCACGGGTCGATGTCGCCCGCATGCTCCGGTGCCGCTGCTCCGTCCGGCGCCGCTGTAGTCAGCCCGAGCATAACGCCACTCGACCTGCTCCGTCCGTACACGCTCTCGTTGCTGTCCTTCCCAGTCGGTTCCTCGCTTTCTCCCTCGTTGCACTCAAGGTTCTTGGTCTGAAAAATAAAAATTCTCGCGCCGAAGGGGTCAACCAGCCCAGTTCAGCTCGTCGCCACCTGCTCCCTCCTCCTTTGATGGCGAAGCCAGGTTACTGAGGCAATGCAGCGCCCTCTAGCCAACCTAGGGCCGTGTACATAGTTCCCGTCCACCTTCTGACGGTGTCTGCCTCCGCGCACAAAAAATGAGATGGGCATCGCTGCCTACGCCGACGGCCAGAGGCCCGCGCATCTACATTTTTTCGCCTGACCCCATCAGTGCCGACCCAACTACACCACCACGCGCATGCCTCGCGGCGGATATGCGCAGCAGCAAGAAGGTTTCGGTCATCCCTTGAGGGTGAGTCTAGCCCTGCTCGCCAGAAAGACCCCCCCCTTCACTACAACCCATGTCTAAGCAAAAGCTTGTCGAGGAGCGAGGGGAAGAAGGGCAGTAGTTGGAAGTACATAATTCCCACAATGCGATAATTGTAACCACCTGACGTTTGCATCATGTAGTCATCATGTAGTCCTGCACCGCAATAAAACAAAAGCTCGTCGAGAAACACACGTCGGCGGCGTAGACTGCCGACTTGCCCCGCCGCCCGACATTGCTCTCACCCGCGGCGCACACCAATCACAAACGAACGTTGCTGATTTTTTTCTCAAGGCTGGCGATTTGGAAGGGATGCGGCTCTACGTGGAGGCCGGGGGAAACGTGAAGAAGAGGGACTTCTTCAACAACACCGCGCTGCACCGGTCGGCGTCGATGGGCTTCACCGCCATCACGGGGTATCTCTTGGAGTCCGGGGCCGAGGTGGATGCTGTAGCCAACGACGGCTGGTAAGGCTGAGCCTAATAACAAATGCAGTGGTACATTTGATACGGATAGCGCCCGGGCTAACGAAGATAGGTAGAAGTCTAAGAAGTTGGCAGGTAAGAAGTTGGCAGTCGCAGTAAGAACTTCGTGCTTCACAATATTGCCACCGTAAAATTTTGGGTAAGCGGTGGGGTCGTTCACTGTGCTTCAGCCTCAATTTCCACCGGCCAGGGTTCAATCTTGTGCGGTAGGCTCAAGTATGGCGTACCAGATCGGTTGGAATGATCGCATCTGGATTCCCGATATATATCCAAGGTCCGAACCTAACAAGCTCATGCCGCAGCACACATTCCTTATTGAGAGCTCACGAGATATACGCAGAGGCATCGTCTTGGTTGGTCACGAGCGGTGTTGCATTCAGCGTTTGGATTGGATTCGTTTCGTTCAGGTTGGCCGTAGCGAGAACTACGTCGGGGGTACGGAACCATGGGGGGCTCCGCAAATGAATCGGGTATTCTTTGAGGCATACCCTAGCCCTCATCGATCTACTTCGCAGTAGATCGAATCATCGTATTTGCCCGAGCGCTATAGACTATATTTTGCTACTCCAAAACACGCCAAACATAGGAACCAAGAACCCGAGTTTCGGCGCAAAACTTGCGGTTGTGTCGGTGTTCCCATACTGTCCCTCTCGGAAATCTGTGTCGCGAGAGCGACTGATGCGTGAGGTTTCTTCTTTGAAGGAAAGCTTGCTGCTTGGACCGGACGAGGAATTTGCGAGGAGGCGTTATGGATTTTTCTGGCCAAGTCTCCCCGGCAAGGCTGCTACTGGTTTGGTTTTTCGGGCTGTCCGAAAAGCCTGCTCATGATCAACACATACGCTCATTTACACTTTTTTTCCCGTGGAAGGTAGGGAAAGCAGCTTTTCCCTTCCTTACATGTTGTGGGCAGTCGGGCCGGGTGGGAAGGTACGAATGAGGCTTCGTTTCGCCCTTGGTGAAGAAAGCAGTTGCCACTGCGGCCATGGAACATTCCAGCCGCGATCTACGAACATCGATGCACACACGGTGCTTACTTACTTCGAAGTAGTTTCTTCGCAAAAGATATGCCCCCATTGAGTTTGGAGAAAGAGCGTATATGAAGACGACGGTCTGCCGAATTGTTGGTGACACTGCTTACCAGTCCGTGTTGACGGGTAACCCCCTCGCCTAGCCTGGTTTTTGGTGTGGGATTCCCTTCTTACTATGCGACGTGGATCGAACAGATTAGGCGCGGCCCGCAAAGATAGAAATTGCGGCTGTACGTACGCCTACCGGGGATATTTTCTTGTCGCTGTGCTCTTCGTGTGGTACCCTGCTCCATTTTTTTTTACCTTGCCGGCCTGTAGGACGCCGCTTCATTTGGCATGTCGATGGGGGCGCGTGGGAGCGATCAAGGCCCTCGTGCAGGCTGGGGCTGACGTGAAAAAGACCACCAACGACGGGCGGATCCCGGCAGAGCTCCTCAAGGTCGAGATGTCTCCCAGGGATCGGAACGAGGCCCTCAAACTCCTGGGTGAGTGCCCGACTGTGAGCAGAAATGATTATTGCGAGAGTTCTTTTTCTGCGGCATTGCTAGAGAAGCTGCCCGTGGAGCCCCTCGGTGAGTACACTGCTGTAAGGAGAAGTGATGACAGCGAAAGCTTTTGATCTGTGGCATTGCTAGAGAAGCTGCCCTTGCCATAAGCAGACAAGGTGACACCCGAAAGCTCTTTATTTGCGGTATAACTAGAAAGCCTGCCCATAATTTTTGTAGATTGCGGTGGAAGCCGCTCAAGCAGAACCGTGACGCATTGCTCATGGCGTAGCATACTCACCCCATTATGAGCAATTTGCGCTTGACCCTTCACCTGTTGAACTTGTTCAAATTGCGTGGGTCGTACTTCGTTGATGTGCTTCAAACGCTCAATCCCGGAGGAATTCCCCCCACGAAACTTTGTTGGACCACCCGGACCTGTGCTTCTGCCTTCTTTTCTGATTGACTTCGTTTGGGCATACGGGCTTCGCTGTTGCTGCTGGATTGTGTATTGAATCGACTGCTTGTGTGTTGTTTTTTTCATTTCTCTTCGTGCAGGAAGCTCACCATCGGTGGCCGGCTTCAAGCATGCAAGCGAAGTCGGCGACGAGTGACGGTCAAGTGGATTGGGTCAACGCCTTCTCCAAGATACGTTTCTCTCTTGACGAATTGAACGCACGCGCCGGAATAACCACGCTACACACGAGGTACCCATCACGAACGGATTTCCCACCCCCGGCGCCAGACATTTTTTTTTGTTGTCCAGATCGCGATGTGCTATTATATTAACCGCGCTTGGGTGGGTGTGCAGGGTGTGCCTGGGTGTTGGTGGCTGCGTTGCTGCGGGCTGACAAGCGCCGATTGTCTTCATGTTTGGCGACCTCTTATCGAGAGGCTTCGGCGAATTGGGGGGTAGAAAGCGGAGGCGCCTGGCATGTTTGTGATACGTACCTCGTGTAGGACAGATTAGTAGTTGTTGGGAGGCTAACTTTTTTAGAAGAAGCGCTGCTAGTCAAATGGCTTGATTTCGGCTTCGATAGGTGGTGCTTGAGAAGCAACGCCCTCCAGAGTGGGCTTTCGGCGTACGTTTTCGGCGTACGCGTGTACTGAGTATTTTCTGTTTCGAAAGCGTTCGACGTAAGTCGCGCCGCCGCCCGGTCACACGCTTGTGCTTGTGTGTGTTTGATGTTTTTGTAAGGTTGACTCCAGCGATAATGCCCCTCTTGCGGCGACGGTTCAACGCTTGCTGTAGGAGGGATGGAGGGTTCGGGGCCGACATTTTAATGTTCCGCACGTGATGATTCATCCCTGGTGTGCAGCTTGAAATATCGTGCTTCGTGAGGCAGACCAGACCATTGAGAGTAGCATTCCCTCACCTCAGATTCGCCGACCTTCTTGCTAGGAGAAGAAACTCTTTGCTACTGAATACCGCGCACCACATGACCCAGAATGTAGATGGATTGGCATCAGAACCCCCAACTCATTCTTTGGTGTCACACGTAGCGTGCTTTTGGTGCACCTCGTACCTTCGCGGCTTGCTCGATGGCGTATTTCGCATCAACAGCTTTGACATGCCAAATGGGGAGGGGTCCGCATCGTGTACGCCATATAACGTTGTGATAGCCGGGGTTTGTTTTGTGGTTGAGGTTTAGTTTCTGTAGCCCCGCAGAAAAGGTGGCGTTTTTCGTTGTCAAGAGCCGCACCTCCATTCCCCAGGGCGAAAGCGCTCTGGGCAAGGATTCCAGACTGAACGTGGAGGTACGGAAGGGCCTTTATGATATTTTTCGTAACCTCCTTGGTGTGGTGCCTTCGTCTGTATTCCCCCGCCGGCTTCGCGTGGGAGGTCATAATTCCTGGCCAGCTTGATGGAGTTGGAACAGAATATCAAACTGCTTTGCGTTCGTACGCGTTTTCCGTGACAATGGGCAGAAGGACTTGTTTCTTTGTGAAATTGTAGAACCGAGGTGATCGCACACTATTTTCAAGACAAAAAGGTGGGGTACAAGGGGGGTGGGCAATAGGAAACCAAGACATGACGTTGAACCGATGAACAGGCGACTAGGGATATGCCGTGTGGACCTTTCGGGTACTCTGGCGAAGTGATGAGTCGAGGATAGGGACAGCTGTGGTGAGATCTACTGCTGTACACAGGTATCAATTGTACATTGTAAAATTTCAGGAAGAGTCCATTTGACATGTCAAGGTTAACATTTACTCAAAATAGTCTGAGGATATGGGTTTGTCTCCACATATCCTCCGGAGGATACTGTTTTTCTATTTTGGGATTTGTGCCGTCACCTTAAAGAAAATGTTCTGAAAACGCTATGGGCATACGCTGAATGCAATGGGTTTTTGTCGTCGTTTGGTGGCCATTCTTACCGATTTTTTTCGAAAATCTCGGGTTGTTGCTCGGGGTTTCTATTTGCGGGCTCGCGGGGGGGGAAGAGGAAATAACCACATCACGCATTTTCAGGTTTGTTTGCTCACTTGGGCGTTGCTCTAGCTTTGTGTAGAGGAGGAGAGACAGGTAGGTGTGACTCAACATCTTGTTTGGGCAGTCCTGTTCCCCTCTCCTTGTCTAAGGCAGCGGCCTGCGCACACAAACAGAAGACGACGTTATTTGCGTAAAACTCGGGCGGAGGACCTCCTGGAATAGGTCGCTGGTGTTCTTCTCGCAGAACCTCCGAAAAATCGCCGCCGCTCCCCGTCTTTCTGCGTCGTGTACGCAGCGCCCTCTTTGCTGGTGCCTGCTTGGGACTTCAGGGTGGGCGGGTGCAGTCTACTCAGGAGTCCGCAGCGCGAAGTATTGGTCGTCGGTTGGGTCCCGAGATAAGTGCTGGGCAACCAAAGGTTCGCAGCAGAAGACTCTGCCCGCTGGGTAGGGCATGATGCCGGCAATGCTATTTGTTCCTTCCAGCATGATACCTCTGCTGACGGAACAAATCAATGAAAGCCTCAAGATCGCTGCGCTCTTGGGGAGTTACCCGTTTTCCTCCTCGTCGACCCTGGGGCGAACCACTACAGCACGCCACAGATGGATGGCGGGGAAGGTCGGGCACCGATCACAACCTGTCTGTGAAGGTTTGGGTGCGGAGTTTGGAGGACGGGATCGACCTTGAACAAGTTGTACTGAATTAAAGTTACATGTTTGTACTGCTGTCGTCGTTGGGTTAATGTCCCTATCCGAGATGCGGAATCAGTTGCACAATGTCAACCTCCGGCATGCAACCTCCCCATGCGTACGTTACGGTCGGTGCCCAACCTACCCACAACCTCAAGCCACCCGAATAGTCTACAGCGTTTCTCGCCCCCGGCTGCCGGCGTCTATCTTCCCGCTTCCAAGTAGCGGCTGCGTCTTGCGAATATTGGCCAAGAAAGAGGCGCGGTATCGTAATATCCTACTTCAAGTACATGGGTACATTGTAGGAAACCATATGGCCTCCTCGCGCTGGTTTGCTTCCTGGCACTGCTGTTGGCGTGGGAGTTGGCCCAGCAGCAGCAGGGGCACCAGCGGTGTGGTTCTTCTTCTGGTGGTGATGATGTGAGCCACGAAGCAGCTCTCACCGGCTTGCTGATGATGATGAACATACATACTGCCGTAGGTATGCATCCACACGGCCGCAGCATGTATTGTCTCGTACAGTAGTGGAAGAAAGCCAAGCCCTGCACCGGTATTTGGCCGCGCTTGCTTGCGTGCCTCCTACCACCATGCGCATTCCGCAGTTGATGCGCCCATCTCACCCTTGCTTATCCATGATATATATACTGCTGTACCCCAGAGACGGGACGAAAGACGGCAAAAAATTATCACAGCATCGACCGCGAGGCTTGAAGCGTTGCTTCCATCCCCTGGAGAGCGCCGAGCCCCGTGTGAGCTATGTAAAGGAGAAATAGTCATCTCTCTCTCTCTCTCTCTCTCTCTCTCTCTCTCTCTCTC